TGACATTATTTTTTCGAATCTTGTACAGAATACCAAAAGGGACATTGTCAAAATAAGCCATCGCCGCATTTAATCTTCGCTGAAAATATTTTGATGGACCCCTTTTTTGAATCCGATTAATCCAAGCCGGGAGTGTATCTACGGTTAATAATTTGATTTCGTTTTCATAATCAATTTAAATACATTTTAGCGTGGATTATAGCGTGAAAAATTGGATATTGTTTAATACTTACTGAAAAATGCAAATGACGATCGGCGGATTTAATATACAAGACATGTGTATGTTAGGAATAGCATTTGTGGTGGATTTTTTTTTTTTTTTGTTTTTTTGTTTTTGGTAATTTTATTTTAAATTTCATTTTTAAATATCGACCCACAAGATGTTTTCGTTTTTCGTTTGGGTGGGAGAGAGGGGGGGGGGGCGGCGTCCACGCGATACAAAATAGGTTATTTCGGTACTATCATATGATTCAAGTTTATTTCAATATTTCGCGTGCACGTAGAGTACTTTAGCAGTTGGAGGAACCGGAGAAAACCCACGAGGTTAGACCCTAATCCTTGTCACATATAAGCGGGTAGTCGAAACCATACCACTTGACTCAATGACAGACGCTGTGATCTCACGCACACGCGTGAAACCACTCAGCCACCTTTAAACCTAACCACGTAACCTACTCTATAAGACGTCTGTTGTTCGCTGTTTTTGTTCTTTCGTTAAATGATTAATCACCTTTTAAATAGGTGGTTAATTCACACGAAGTAAATATAGAGTTAGTTTATCCTGGGTACATGATAACTCCAAGACAATTTGTAAGTTTCTTAAAGCAAACTAACTTCGCGTTGTCTTTTAATTTTAGTGTCAAGATTAGAGTAGATTTATCCGCTGTGTTAGTGTGATCTCTACGGGAGAATATTGGGGGTCATTTATCTATATTATCAATAATATAGGTGTAATCCCACCTCCCTGTCACATTGATTTATACTTGCAATAGGTAATATATTAAGTTTGATTTATTCGGATATAACTTAAAAACTGGCACCTCGGGTATCATTAACAGGAGGACAGGTGCATTCGTTTCATGTAGACCTCTCCCACACCACAATCTCTCCAACAAATATACAAGGCAAATCTCTCTTTATGAAAATCGTGACAAATGAACCGGGGTGAAATTCTAACAAATACCCAAGGCGAATATGCTTATGAAAACCGTGACCCAGGGTCGAATTCTAGCAAGAACTACGCAAGGCTAATATCTATATTCGTAACGGTTAACCCTGGGTTTAAAAATTCTAGCAAGAACTACGCGAGGCAGATCTCTATTCGTGATGGTTGACTCATGGTTAAGTTGTAATAAGAAATACTAATTAATAAATGAATGGAATTGGTTTAACGTCCTACTTTTCTGCCCCGACCGGGATTATGAAGCTGGGTTATGAAAGAAAATTGCAAGGCATATTTTTGTTCGTGATAATTGCCCCGAAGGCGAATCACTATTCTGTGAAAAGTCACATCTTTATGTTTTAATTCCAATAGTGACGGGACAAGCTCCACCGGATTAGATTTTTACGAATTTCAATTCTATTCTATTCTATTCTATTCTATTCTATTCTATCGTAATTTGTAATTCAGAATTATTAAAGTTATTTGAGGGATGCAGCTGTAACAGTCTGATTAGTTGATTGAAAATTCAGGTCGGCATAGGGTGGGATTGCGGATGCAAAACCTTTGGGCCATTAAAGTTGCTTAACTCATAGGCTAGAACAGCAGAAAAAAAACGCATTCGCACTGGTTAATGGCCTCCAAACCCCTCAACGCTCCGTGGGCTAAACGATTGACTGTTTGTTTAGGTTATATTGGAACGCATTGAAGTGAACGGGTTAGAATAGCAGGAAAACGCGTAGGCCTATGAGTGCGTCTATAATTTTCAAAATTTTCTTCTTTGCGCCTAAGGCGCTCACAGGCCACCGACTTCGCAGGCCGAACCTCCGTGACTTGAAACGAGAATTCGCTTGCAAGATGAACCCAATAAGGCTATGAGTGCGTCTATAATTTTCAAAATTTTCTTCTTTGCGCCCACGACACTCACAGGCCACCGACATCGCAAGCCGAGACTCTGTGACTTAAAACGAGAATTCGCTTCCAGGATGACATCAATAAGGCTATATTAGGCGCGGGGTAGCAGAAAAACGCTTTGCGGCAATCTTATTTCCTAAAAGTATCGGGAGAGGCCCCTACACTGCCTTCGGCGCTCGCTGACTACAGGCGCCGCCATCTGTAAACGTGATTTTTTTTTTGAGGGGAACTAAAGCCCCTAGGCCAGCTGCCCCTTTTTCTGCTTTTAGACCGCACTGTTAGTTTCATGACCATTTTATGCTTTGAGTAGTTCAAGTCGTATGATATGTATCGTGCATTGTCTGCGATATTACTTCAGTGAAAACTGAAATGAAATGGGGTTTAACTTCCTATTTCTCATCACGAATCGGGACAACGAAGACGCGCATTATGTTATGTAGTGCGCTATGAGCTAAATTCTACATGGGATCTTGTTGGCCGCAACCGAACGAATAGACGCTGTGCCTTATGAGGCTCCCAATCCTGCACTTCTGACAAGGGTCACTTGATTGGAAGCCGGCATAAAAAAACGCTATTTAATACATTGTATCCTGTTTCATGTCGAGGCGTAGAGCCGTAGTGACTCGGTGAGTATTTGATCCCACTGTTGGCTGTGGTGCGGTTCCGCCTTGTCAGTGGTGTAGGACTGAGGGCCTGACAAGGGACAAGTTATAGTCGTTCGGGTGTGACGACATACCGAGGTTCCGTTTTCACATTGGTGTGCACGTAAAACAACCCACGACAGTTGGAATTCGATATAGGCGTAAGGGTTGGCCGTCGCGCCGCTGTCCGGACAAAATTACCCTCATAAATGTAACATACTGCATGGCGTATGTCCGTCTTCGTTTGTTCAGTCGGTGCAGAAAAGTAGGACGTTAAACCCCATTTCATTTCATTGCATTGCCAATCTCTCAGTCATGATTTTCCGGCGTGGTTCCCCCTTGTTAGGGATGCAGGACGGAGGGCCTGAAAAGGACAGCTGTCTAGTCCTTCGGATGAGACGAAAAACCGAGGTCCCGTGTATATATTGGAATGCACGTAAAAGATCCCTTGGCAATTTGAATTCGATATAAGAGTAGGCGATAGTGCCGCTGCCCGGGCAAAATTTACCTCATGGCACACTGTATGGCGTATTCCCGTGTTCATTAGACCAGTATAGGAGCAGAACAGTAGGACGTTAAACCCCATTTCATTTCATTTCATTTCATTTCTCTCCGCCCTGCACCACTGACAAGGGGCACTTCATTGGGAGCGGACGTTAAAAAAAGCCATTGAACAAATTGTATCCTGTTGTCTGTTGAGGTGTTGGGCTGATAATCCACGGCTTTCTAACACCTGTCAAACTTTACCACAGATAAATAAATATCTTTATATTATACGTACAATATGTATCAACAATCATATTGCCAGGTAAAAAAACCTAACATAATCTTCAAATACCACATTCACGCTGTTGTCAGGAACCTATATTTGAAATATGAGCTCATCTTTTGACAGTCGATGGATGAAATAGATTAACGGGATTAGCGCAGCTGTAAAATACAGTAAGATAATAATCCGTTCTTAGATAATCTCTGGTTCAATTTTATTAAAATGAAAAAAAAAAGAAATTATATTTATTTTTTGCGAAGTATCGTCTAATAAATACGGCAACTATATATTGTGCACCAGGAATAAAACGTTCACTCTTCCTAGGGTATGAAATGAAATGAAATGGGGTTTATCTTCCTATCTATCTGCTACGACTGTACTGGGCTAATAAAAACGGGCGTAAACTATACAGTGTACTATGACGGAAATTTTCCCGGGAAGTGGCATTACGGTCTACTTTTTATCTAATTTCAACTGTCAAGGGATCTTTTACGTGCACGCCAATATGTACACGTGACCTTGGTTGTTCGGCTTGTCCTGTATCACTGACAAGATGAAACAACACCGGGATCGAATAAAGAACCTTCAGGTTAGCGAGTCAACGTTTTACTCACTGAGCCACAGCGCAAGTATGAGAAACGACTTCGCACTTATTGGTGATGTCCGCATAGCTCATCAGTCTTATTAAAACTAGATTTTATTTTCGTGTTGTTGACCACTTGTTTATCACTTGTCAGGGAAGGGGTCTTTGAGATTGACAAGAAAAGGTGTGTCCAGTCTTTCACGTTGAGGAGTCACTGACGATAAAGGAAACATGGGAAGTCCGCTCTTAGCATTGTACACGTGATCATAGACACAATAAAAGTGTATCTTAGTCCCGGGGTGGTTCTCCCTTGTCATTGACGCAGGACGGAGGGCCTGACAAGGACATCTGTCTAGTCATTCGGATGAGCCGAAAAACGGAGGTCCCGTGTACACATTGGCGTGCACGTAAAAGATCCCTTGACAGTTGGAATTCGACATAAGAGTAGGCTTTAACCCCCCCCCCCCTTCTTTCTGTGCCAATTTACACTAGCATGCATATATACGCATATATATCCAAAAATATTAGCACAACCGTAAAGCTGCTTTACTTTGTTTAACGGTAAACGATGAAAAGATAAAAGATATTCCGCTACAAACACTGTTTTAATAACATTTTAACACTTTTCAAATACTTTTCGCTCGTCTTAGAGCTATTCATAAATAATGTCATTGTCGATATAATATAGTTAAAATAAATGTGTTATTATTCAATTAAAATAAATATTTTTTTATTGAATTAAAATAAATATTTTTTTATTGAATTAAAATAAATATTTTTTTATTGAATTAAAATAAATATTTTTTTATTCAATTAAAATAAATATATTTTTATTGAATTAAAATAAATATTTTTTTATTGAATTAAAATAAATATTTTATCATTCAATTAAAAAACAATTTATTCAATTAAAAAAACAATTTATTCAATTAAAAACAATTTATTCAATTAGAAAACAATTTATAAAATTTATACAATTTATAAAATTTATACAATTCATAAAATTTATACAATTTATACAATTTATAAAATTTATACAATTTATACAATTTATACAAAATTTCACGCCATTAATATATAAAATAATATTATATGCCATTTATACAAAAAAACAAACTCTCGGTTATAAACCTGCGGTCCGAATTCATGTATCTACCGTAGTAACTATAGTATAAATATACAGAATTCAATATTACATCAAATAAATAAAATATATGGTCATAATAGAACACCATCTTTGTCATAGTAAATAGGAAGATTTTACGGGCGAATTCTGATATCTTCAAAGTGAATTTCGGTGAATTCAGGTGATGGTATATGAATTCCGGTGATTGTAAATGAATTCCGGTGAGTTCCGGTGATTAGTCTACCCGTAAGACTCTACGAGTATGACGTTAAACCCCATTTCATTTTCCAATAAGAGAACATGTATGTCGAAATTTATTAAAGAACAATGTTGGTATCCACTCAATTTATAATGGATGTGACAAATATAATTTTTTACATAGAAGTGGTTTGGGGATTCCGGAAGTGACGCAAAAAATGAAAATTGGTTATTGTGTACTGAAATAGAAGGCGCTATAACAGCTGCACGGGTCGATAAGCCAATATATAGATATATAACCAATTATATCTAGTGGATACCACACAGTCCTTTAAAACGATGGGGAAAACATAGATTTTTTTTGCACATTGTGGTAACTAAAATTGCACTATATCATATTATGTCACAGACTTTGAATGGAAGTGGACGTTAAACCCCATTTCATTTCAATGGAAGTCAATAGGGATCTTCTCATTCGGAACGCCTTTTATGCATTCAATTCGGACCAATGAGCATCCTCGTATTTTCAAAACAAAAATCATCATGTAGGCCTAATCAAAAATGTCTCTGAAACAAACGTAGACAAATGGTTTAAAAACTCTTTAGATATATAATATTATAGCAAAAATGAATTATTTATTCACTTATTAAAGCTGCTTGTCTTTTTTTTTTGTTTTTGTTTTTTTTTTTTTGTTGAGGAATTTGAATGGTTCAGTTCTGTTCGGCATTTACAACAATATGATTATTTGGAAATTTTGGATCATCGGTACCAACTGCAGGTGATATTTAACAAGCCAGCGCCGCATATAAGTGTTGAGTAAAATCTTTTGATAGGCCTCTTTTTAATCCGTTTGGTTTTGCTTTCTTGATTGAATAGTTAATTTTAGTATAATCCGTAAAATGCAAATGGCTATCAACGCTTTTAAATCAAACAGGCTTGAAACATTATCGAAATATAACGTAGTTTAACGTGTCTGGGTGGAAACAGTAACAGTAACTCACGTGGTTTTACTTAACAGAAAACGGTAACGGACTATAGACTAATATGGTTTTACATAAAAGAAATTGGCAAAAGTCTAAAGATTACTGTGGTTTTTCTTTAAGAACTCGGTAAACGTCTATAGAATTCTGCGGTTTTAGTTAAAGAAAACGGTAACAGTCTAAAGATTACTGTGATTTTACTTAAAGAACCCGGTAAAAGTCTATAGACTCTCGTGGCTTAATTAAAGAAAACGGTAACAGCCTAAAGATTACTGTGGTTTTACTTAAAGAATCCGGTAAAAGTCTATAGACTCTCGTGGCTTAATTAAAGAAAACGGTAACAGCCTAAAGAGTTCCGCGGTTTTACCCCAAGAAAACGGTAACAGTCTAAAGACTCCCATACTTTTATTTAAGAGAAAACGGTAACAGTCTAAAGACTCGTGTTTTTTTATGACAGAAGTAGAACAGTGATAAAGCGAAGTAACAAGAATTGAATCATTTAATTGTGAGATTGCCCTGTCACAAATTTTATCAATATTTTATTAATGAGAAACGAATTGAAGTCGGTATTATCTAAATCAACAAAAGAATGTCAACTACGATCCACCCCGTATGATTAATTCGTTTCGTTTTGTTTAACCTAAGATCCTAAATCTATAATCTACCGATGTTTAAATCTAACCAACTTTGATTTATTTATTAGGGGTTCAGAGTTTAACATGCTCCTAACATGAAATGAAATGGGGTTTAACGTCCTATGGTTCTGCTCCGACTGGGCTAATAAAGACGGACATACGCCACACAGGGTGCTATGAGGGAAAATTGGAACGGACAGCGGCGCTACGACCTACTTTTATTCCATGTGCACGCCAATTTGTAACGGGAGTACGCAACCTCAGGTTTTCGTCACATCCGAACAACTTTATGTTGTCCCTTGCCTGGCCCTTGCCAGGCCCCTTGCCAGGCCCTTCGTCCTGCAAAACTGACAAGGGGAAATAGCGATGAGCTTCCTCGGTCAACATACTGATCGAACGCCGGATCTCCAGATCAGCGAACCAACGTCTGACTCAATGAGCCACCGTGCCCCCATCTGTTATCAAATAATATATATATATAATATAGTTCTTACCCTGGACGAACAAGGTGAATTACGGGTTATTTTCAAAATTATATTATTCATTTCAATGTGGGGGGGGGGGGGGGCGAGCAGTCCATGGCCTAGGTTCTCAAACCCCGGTGAGGGATAAGAAGAATCTCGTTGTTTCAAGTTCGGTTCTCATTTGTAAAGGGTAGTAGCGTCTGCTAGTCGTTAGGACGTTAGGATGGGACGGAAAACCTTCGGTGTACGCACTGTGGTGCACGCTTTTAATTGGATTTCCACGAAGAGAGGGTGGAAATGCCGCTGTCGGTGGTCAGATTTAAATACTAAAGCTAACTGCAGATTTCGTCAAAGTCGCGAGATGTAAAAAGGTTTAGGACACGTGATTGTTGACGAGATTGTGGGGTAAAGTTAGGGCTAGGACTAGGTGTAAGCATAGGGTGAGGGTTAGGGTTAGCGCTAGCCCTGTTTACAACCCGTGACCTTTGACCAAATATGCAGCTGGTCTTAAAATTATCCTAATGAAATCGGCTAATCACATCAATTTACAATGGCAAAAAACTAATGATCCAGTAAGCATAATGAGGATTGAGCAGCGTAAATATCAACTAAGTATGTTCCGGTGGGCCGCCTTAGCCGCACTGATCAGCAGTTAATATTCGCTAGGCGACTAATATCACTGAAAGGGGTGACATCGGTGTAGGTCAATGAGCTCACAATATTAACCTTTTCCTTCTGCAATTTAATTCTAGAACATGCATAGGTATAACAAGAAGGCCTTCACAATGTCACTGTGAAACAGATTGACCATTAGCCCGCAGTCAAGGCCCGATTTACTTATATATGCTGTTAAACAATTCATATATCTCGCCAACCGCAAAAGACACTACAATACGCCCATTGATACAACTTGGAAAGCAAAGACATCATTATTAGTATATGTTGTTATTCAACGATGAAACTTTTAATAAAAATGAAACTTTTTTTAAATAGACCATGCAAACATGAACAATTATGTACAATGTTTCTCAATCTGATTAAAATACAGATCTATATTTCGTTTCGTTTTTTTATACTTCCGATGGCCTACACTACATGAAGATCTGACCGGTTGTTGCGATAGGTCGCGTCAGGGGTCATACGAGAGGCGTTTGACTCTATGACGTCAGACATTTGATTAACCAATCCGCATTGATGTTACTAGTGGATTACCCAAATTTCCGTGCAAAACACGCCTAAAGATCGCCGTAACAGATCGTTTCGTTGGTTAATACCTAACCTATTCAAACACGTCAATGATAATAAAGTTTCTAGATCCTAGTATAGTAAAGACAAGTAAAACGAAATTTTCAACTATAAAAACGAAATAGGATCTGTGTTTTAATCAGATTGAATGTTTCTAAGCTATTCACAAATTAAAAAAAGACATGTCAGTGCCCAATAAGTAAAAACCTAATGAAAACTTTCCCAAAACAGTAGACGCGGAGCTCTAATATGTACGTAACATTATGTACAATTTTTCAAAACGACCCACGTTTAAGTTCAGCCTACCTCACACCCCGCCGCACGGGTAGTTGGGTTTGGTAGCTCGTCAAGGTTGCTGAGATGTAAATAAGGTTAGGGCACGTGTAAGTGTTGGCGAAATTGTAGGTTAGGCTTACCTTAAGCATTAGGGCTAGGTCCAGGGTTAGGAATAGTGTTGGGATTAGCACTAGCCCTGTTTACATCTCGTGACCTTTGATCAAACATTATCAAATAGAGCTAACGGATCTAACCATACTGGAACCCAGAAGAAGAGTAATCGTGACAGGGGGAATAACTCTACCAAAACCTGGCAGAAAATGTTCTTGGATTTTAAACCAAAAAATCAACAAAAATAGTCATGAAAAGGGTGAGAAAATAGAAACAGGGCGAATTGCTATATTTAGACTTACTACAAATCGTGAAATTGAACTGTGGTCTGCCTCCGTAATACAGGATCCATTCAGCTTTTAACTTAATGCATCTTGCTCAAAGAAATGTTATCCAAGTTAATGAACGTTACTAAGTCAAATCTTTAAAGTACACAATTCGAAAATAAAATTAAATTTTAAATTCCGACCCGCATTTTAAAATGCCATTTCTTAAATTTTAACTGACTTTTCAGAAATTGAAATGTCTTGATTTAAATCAACTGTACACATGAAATGCAATGGGGCTACTTTTCTGTACCAACCTAGTCTCGATCATCTAGAACCTCCTAGTCTTCAACGTACGGTCTAGGACGGTTGTCAATATTTGACGAAAAGTTTCATTGCCCATGCGTAACCAGGATTTTGGATTTTTATGTTGTTGGCAATCTTTGGCCTAGTCAAGTAAGAGTTGTGCCCTTCCCGTAATAAATCTCATAATTCTTGCACTAGTGTAAACAAATATGAATCGTGAGTCGTGAGGTACTCAAGCGGATTTTCTGAAATAGCATTCTTAAATGAATTTAATGGGCATCAACATCTTGTATTGGGACTAGTTACATCCCTTAGACTTTGTTTGTGATAATGTAAAAGACCGGATAATCTAGCCAATGACCTATTATTCTCAAATGTTGACAACGCATCTAGACTAATATTCGTAGAATATTTTTCTGGATGATAGAGACTAGCACCAACTGGGATATTTCAGAAAGGCATTTCGTCATGCAGTGTGCTATGAGGGGTTTTTTTTCCTGGCAGCGGCGCTTCCGCCTATGCTTTATCGAATTCCATCGCGCGGGACAAGGGACACGAGATGTCGGTAATGTAATATCACACGAACGACTAGGCTCTAAATTGGTCAGGCTCTACATTCTGCGCCACTGATCAGAGAGGCTTTCGCGGTCAACACTCGGATCGAACCCCAGTCCCGCGCACTGATGGTAACAGATAATACAATAATTAGATACACCGTGTCAATCACATGGCTCAAAATTTACTGGTTTATCTAACATCTTTACGATAGTTTTCGTAGATTGGAGTCGATGGAGTTTCTTCCAAATCGGTTATGTTAACGTAAAGTTCTTCTCCCTGACCCGGAAGTGGTTGGGTAATGACGTTCATATAGTTCTCACCATCATCGTTAGCATTGACGTTGGATGGTTTAGCGGAAACGACACCCTGCGAAAAATTGAAGCCTACATAACGTTCGGACTTGATGTAACCTTCATCTTCGCTAGTTGTACTTGCATTGGTCTTCTTGACGGCTACATTACTTATGGATCTGATGTAACCATCTTCGTCGCTGGTTGTAAATGACTTGTTCTTCTTGGATAGAGTATCGCTTTGATGTGAAGAAAATGTTATCCTTATGTCAGACTCTCCAGATCTGTAAAGAAATAAATAATTGCAGATGGAACTAACAGTGATTTTGACGTCCTGTATAAGGGCGAGGGCAGAGTGCAGGACTGCAAAAGCAAAATGCGGGATATGGAGAGGAGACTGCAAGATAATAAAATGTATGATTAAGAGAGGAAAGTGCAGAGTTAAAAGAATATAATGCAGGATTAGGAGAGGAGAACGTGGGATTGGGAGGTGGGACTGCGGGATTGTGCGAGGAGAATGCTGCAGGATTGGGAGATGATACTGCGGGATTGTGCGAGGAGAATGCTGCAGGATTGGGAGATGATACTGCGGGATTATGCGAGGAGAATGCTGCAGGATTGGGAGATGGGACTGCAGAGTTGTGAGAGGAGAAATCAAGGTTGTGAGGCGAGAATTCAAGGTGATTGCATGGTTGTGAGAGTCAAATGAGGAATTGCGAGAGATCAATTCAAGGTTGGGAGAGGATAATGCAGGGTTGTCAGAGGAGAATTCAAGGCTGAGAGAGCAGAATGCATATTTGTGAAAGAAGAAAGCAGGATTGGGACAAGAGACTGCAGGGTTGTCAGAGTAAAATGTAGGGTTCAGAGTGAATTGGGGGTTAATAGAATAGATTTCGGGGTGGGGGAGAGAAATTCAGGGTTTGCGGAAGGCGTATATATATATATATACTTACTGTGGGGGAGATGGGTCAGGTACATTATCTGTTGTATCGTCAGCTGCGCTGTTGACAACACATCCCTGGGTACGGCCATGGAATGTATTTAACTTACAATGTACATAACCCAGTTTTTCTTCTGCCAACGAGTGCTTCCTTGCAGTTCTGTAAAAAAGCAAAGAAATGACACCCATTAATGTTTAGAAATCCATGGCGTATCTCGTCCAAATGAAATTGAATATATGTACTAGAATAAGCTTATTCATAGCAAAGAGAGTCTGCCAAGTACAGTAAACCAGAGAGAGAGAGAGAGAGAGAGAGAGAGAAGAGAGAGAGAGAGAGAGAGAGAGAGAGAGAGAAATGGGGTTTAACGTCCACTCGACACAAACTAGGTCATTTCGGGACTAACATATGGATTAATTTTATTTCAATAATTCGCTTGCGCGTATGGGTCTTTAGCAGTTGACTCAATGACAGGCCGTATGATACAGCGCGCGCGTGCTACCATTCGGCCATCCAACCCCCCCTACAGTAAACCAGAATTAGAATTAAATCTTCTAGAAGAGTAATGTTATTATATACACAATACTCAAAGTGTAATTGACCTTTATGTCCTTATTTCACGTGGAGTAAATAAACATTTAATAATTGCTATAGTAATATGATCCCGAGGAATAAATTTAAGGGGTCTGTCAGTACGTCCGTCATAACATCATTCCGCCCCGTTTTTGTTTATGGGTTGGAGGGGGTGTGTGGATGGCCGAATGGTTAGCACGTGCGCTCTGTATGATAAGGTCTATCATTGAGTCAACTGGCGTGGTTTCGATTCCCCGGTTCTACGTGACAAGGAGTAGGGTCGCCTGTCCAACCTCGTGGGTTTTCTACGGGTCCTCCGGTTTCCTCCTACTGCTAAAGAACCCTCCGCGCAAGCGAATTATTGAAATAAAATTGAACTATATGTTAATTCCTAAATGACCTAGTTTGTGGCGAGTGCACGTTAAACCACATCTCTCTCTCTCTCTCTCTCTCTCTCTCTCCCTTTGGTTTAGAGTGCATATATTTTTATGAAACTTTGTAAACACACCGATCTTATAAAGTAGCTGTGCCTTTTGCTAGATTTAATATACTTTTGTTGATAACAGAGTTATGTAACTTTATCCTATTTACCTGTTTGTACGAGCCACACAGAGGACTGCTATTATAATTACTATTACCGCTATGACAACACTAACTATCGGTATCCCATCTAAACATAACAAAATATATGATTACAATATATCGAATTATATCGAAATATACAATTACAATATGCTGAAATATATAATTACAAAGACATCGAAATATATAATTATAATATGTCGAAATATGTAATTACAATATGTCAAAATATATAATTATGTCGAAATATGTAGAAACACTATTTCAAAATATATAATAATACTGTAACGAAATACATAATTACAATATATATAACAATCTTATAACATGAACTTTGCTAACTCGGCAACAATTAAACATGCATTGTGCAAGAGCTAAATCTGCCTATTGCGGGTCTTTCTTTAAGCCTGAAATGTTATCTAATGTTAGACATTAATTTACTGATCCAGGCCATAATCAACTCTCGGTGCCACCGTTAGCCTGTGATATTTAGTAGATTTGAATACATGTTGTGGTGGATAATTTAACGTCAAAATTTATACTCGAGACTTTGTTAATTACGTTAGAAATGATGATCGAAAATTGAATCGTTAATATCTTGGTTTAGATTGAAGCAATTTGGCTGATACTTTCAGCATATCGGTATTCTGTTTTCATTAACTATTTTTAAATATTATAGTAAGAGCCGTCAGTTCTTTATCTAAAGAATTCTTGAAATTCCGACATGCATAGTCTGCATCAGTGTTTATTCTAAATGCAGAAACTCTCACGACCCCAGAGAATCTTCAGAACGGCTTAGGTGACTCAAACAATCACCCCTACTATTTGAAACAGAAATATCTCGTGTAAAACAAAGGCGTACTCAAATTGTCCGCACCAAGAAAACCCAAATTTCGTGATTCGTAATAATGACGTTAGATAACGTAATGATGTTAGATGGGCCGACAGACAGATAGACTATCCGACATGAGTAACGACAATCAACATCGATACAACATACATTCATTGTAAAAACTGTTAAACTTACAGATAATCCATTCAGAACAATATGTGTCTGAAATAAAAAAAAAAAAATAAATCAATCAAGAAGTCAATAAATCAACCATACATTCATATAGTAAGAGTTTTACCATATATGAAATCTATGATTTTCAAATTTCTTTTTTGAAAGTTAAAACAATTCTTTCAAAAATAACAATTCGTGGCCTTCATTTTAAATAAAAGAAACAAAACTACAATGACAGAAATTCTCTGGGGTCCCCATTCGCTCTGATACGTTTTAAGAACGAGTTTTAATAAATGCCAAATTGTACCATTAAAAATGACAAATACGGCTCCTATTGTTTCTTCACTCGACCCAAACTATACCATTTCGGGACTAACATATGGTTCAAGTTAAAGGGTAGGGTTCTTTAGCTGTGGGTGAAAGCCGAAAAACTCGGATAAAACCTACGAGTTTGTACCGTCGACCCTCCTTCTTACCACGTACAAACGGGGGATCGAACCATCCACGCCGCTTGATTCAATGACAGAAGACCTTCTGAACTAACGCACAAGCGTTAAACCACTCGGCCACCTACGTCCTCCCCACCAATCCTCTATAAGCGGAATATATAAACCAAAAATAACTAACCTGTGTTTATTTGTTGAGAATACGGGCACGATCCATTCAGACGATCACAGACACCACTTGGACAATTTTCACAGGAACTCAAGCAATCCATACCATATGTACCCACGGGGCATTCTGTCAGAACAATGAAAGGAATTATACATTTTGAAGGGACTATCCCGATTTGAACAGAGTCTCAAAAATAAAAGTCTGAGTTCGTATGAAATTTAAGCGGAATGGTGTATTTACCTTGTCTCAAAATTTTAGCTCAAAATATTGAGTTGTTTGGACGTGAACGTCAAAATTCCTTATCCGGACACGTAACCCTTTTAAGATTTTGGGTCAATTTTTTCGTTGGGTGACCTGATAATCGACTCCCGTTACTTTAGAGGTCTCTACGATGAATGACCCATGTGCTGTACTTGATAACGAAAGGTAAATTTCACCTACACATTATTTTTATAAAATAAAAGTCTGGTTTTATCCAGACACCGCATAATACACCGGTATTGGGACACCGGTCTCCATTTCCAGATAAAGACTGACGGGTTTAAGTTGTTTGAAAACGTATCACATATGTTGAGTTAGTTGCTCGGCACTAAGGTAGGGAATTTTAAGGGATTTTAACACAAAATTAAGCAGTTTAATTCTCCAAAATATTATCGGGATTGGCCCTTTAAAGAAGCAAAATCGCTATTCTTTGGTACCTAGAAATGGACATAAATGGGTCGCAACGCATATAATAATGTAATATGAATGTATATAAACTGATTTACATTCAATCGTTTCTGTTTTTACTGTAATTTCTAATCAGGTATCTTCGGCGAAATACGCGAAGATTCTGAATTGAATGGCAGTCTTTGACGTTTGGTTATTCTAGTCTACACCGGTAGTATCCCTCTACATGCGATATGTTTAGCTTCGTTCATCGAGTCGCTTCATTCAAATTTTAATATTTTCATTCTGTCTTAAATATTTGATATCACCAGTCCAACTTTTCACGGTAAGATAACAACATCAATGTTAATTAAAATTAAGTCGTGTTTGCAATGTCGAAGATTGTGGATGACATTGTGTTAAAGACTTGGCTCCTTTAAACTGACCATTTCACTAGAGTTATTTTGATTTTTTTTTCAATTTTAAAGTACCCTATTTATTTACTCATATTAGTAGTTCAGAATAAAAGTATTTGACATTCAGCATTAAAAATTTAACAATAAAAAATTTCCTTTCAATTTACTTCTTATCATGATACTTGACTCTGAATATTTCTATAAAAAGCGATTAAGGCTAGAGAAGGCCCGCAGAATGTGGGTGAGTTAGTTGTATTTTACGTCCGCTTCCACCGAGGTGATATCGCAGACAATACCAATTATATGTATACATGGTGCAGTATTTTACAATGTGATTAGTGAAAAAGGGATTAAAGAATTATTAGATATTTATATATATACAGAAGACCCTGTGTGATATGTAGTATGACGTACCGTGTCAGTAAGTGTCTGTGTGTATTTCACTGACTAACGTACCGTGTCATTAAGTCTCTATGTCTATTTGACTGAGTAACGTACCGTGTCATTGTATCGTGTCATTAAGTGTCTATGTGTATAACGTACAGAGATATATTCTAAAGTTTATATGTGTATATGGGTGCCCCGTGTATATGACCGCGATATTAAGTACAGTGTCTATGTATATATGGATGAGTTACGTACCGTGACATAAAGTACCATTATAGCCTATCTTACAACCACATTTTCCGGTTTGAAAATCACATGTATTATTACATCCATCACTACATCTATTGATACAACCATCGCCATAGCTACCAACAGGACACTCTACAAACAACAACAATACAATCATCATGATTGGACATAAAATAATACAACACAGTTCTATAGATAACAATCACGATATCATATACACACAAGGGGATTGGATGTATCATAAAGTTGTATCATAAAGTCTGCCATTCAGTCAACTGGAGTGGTTTTGATTCCCCGGTTGTACCGGACAAGGAATAGGGTCACCTTTCCAACCTCGTGGTTTTTCTCCGGTTTCCTCCCACTGCTAAAGACCCCCTACGCGGAAACGAATTATTGAAATAAAATTGAACCATATGTTAATCCCAAAATTACCTAGTTTGTGTCGTGAGGACGCTACACCCTCTCTCTCTCTCTCTCTCTCTCTCTCTCTCTTGTTGAAAAGGCGGATCCAGGAATTTTTGCAGGAGGGAGTTTGCTATTTTCCCGAGACAATACCTTGGAAATGTTTGAAAAAATACATGGCCTTTATCGTCATTTTGGCGTTTATCTGGGTAACCAGATGTCACCTTTAAAAACACAGAAACTGGGATTTTACATAAAACACTAAATACACACAACTACTACGCTATGTTTTAGTTTTACTGATATGCAATAAAATCAGTTCAGCGCGATTTTGACAGGAAACTTTAAGGAAGTAAACTAGAAAAATAAAAACCGACCGCGATTGTATCAAACACCAAAATATCAAGAAAAGTCATCACATAAACTATTCGTTTATTTTTTTTTTCAATACGCCGGGGCACAGATAACTTCATGGGAGCCTAAAATAGAGCTTTGCACAGTTATGACTCCAAATATAATGGGAAGAATAAGCGGCGTGGATATTTTTTGGGTGAACCATTGTATAATTCCATCGATATCTAACTCGAAAGTATTGTTACCGTTCATTAGGACTCCGGTTTCCTCCCACTGCTAAAGACCCCTACGCGCAAGCGAATTATTGAAACAAAATCAAACCATATGTTAGTCCCGAAATGACATAGGTTGTGTCGAGTCGACGTTAAACCCCATTTCTCTCTCATTAGGACTAAGCATGTCAGACGACCATCCGTCATAATAGAACCATCTGATGATAAAGGATAAAGCACATGACCGTGACACTCTTCTCATAAAAAGTATAGTTTTACCATTACTTTTATGTAGCTGAGCAGGGGAGGGGAAGGGGGGTCTGTCCCTTGAATGCTATAGTCCTAAAAATGATCCTGCATAATAAGTTAATCAGTACAGAATTACGGACTCTCCCTGATCTCATGATGCAGAATATGGTGCGTTTATTTCTAGTAATTCTCTCTGTCTCTCCCACCCCATTTTATGTGTCATTTTACGTTATTTTTTTTGTTTAGAATTGAAGATGGGTGTTTGAATTTTCATTTGCGGGTTGAATTTCGTAAGTAGTCGCATGGTAATTATACTGACACGAATTTGGGAAATCACACACAAAACTGACATCAGAGCCAAAAGATTCTTCAATACTTTCATCAGATGATTGTGACATGTTTGGGGTCACAAAGAATTAAATCACTGGAAATATTCACAAGGTTACAGGCCAGGGAATGAAATGTATATAACATTGAAGTCATTGTGGAGAGATAATTGTTAGTCCTTACACATGAACCAAGAGTTACCCTCCCCCCCCCCACTGGTCGAAAAGAGGGTTTAAGATCACCAGAATGTTAGATACTGATTGTGTATGCCTATATATTTCATGGAATTGACATTGGAGTCACTTGCAAAAGAGTTACTAGACTGTCCTTACGCCCGAACTAAGAGTTATTTCCCCTATAACAATGGCCCGGCATCTAAACACTAAACTACATAGGGGATTTATACCAAACTGGCAGGATAGTGGAGTGAGGGGGAGTCACGATCAGACGGACTCGGCATCTAAACACTATTCCACCAAAAACAGACACCAAACCTACAGAATGGGATAGTGGAGTAAGGGGAGGTCACGATAAGACGGGCCTGGCACCTAAACACAAACCCCACAAAGATGACATCTACCAAACTAGCAAGATAGTGGAGTAAGGGGGAGTTACGGTCAGACGAACTTGGCACCTAAACACTATTCCGCAAATAAAACTGATACCAAACCCAAAGAGTGGGACAGTGGACGAAGGGGAGGCCACGATAAGACGGGACTGGCACCTAAACACTAACCCCAAACGATGACATCTACCAATCCAGAAGCAGACGAGATCATCTACCAAACGATATGTTTTGTATTAAATAAAGGGAAGAACTTCCCACTAAACCAAATCCATGGCCTAAGGCCAAATGGAAAGATTGCAAAATCATATTCTAAAAAACAGGAATCAGCTTCGGCTCTCCTATGTCTTGTCTGCGATATCACTTATGTGGAAGCAGACGTAAAACACCAAGAACGAACGAACGAACGACCACCCTAATGTTAAAACAAGTTGAAAGCCCTAACAAATTTAACATTCAAGTCAACTAGAAGAGAATTACTGAGCAGATACATATAGGGCGTGTTTGTCCTTTGATGAAAAAAACTAAAAAGTGTACTTACCCACATTACATAATTTCCCCAAATATCCTGAAATACATCCATTATTACAAATGCCCGTTACCCTATTACATTGACCATTCTTACACCCGGTTAGACAAATTCCTCCACAATCACCACCGAATGTTCCTTCTTCACACTCTAAAACAATACAAATTCGTATGTAATCCATTTAAGACATATAGAAGTAGATTTCACAAATTAAAAACACTTATATGGATATACTACTTCTGAATTTATTAACAGGCTACGTTTTGATACACATTCAAATATCGTTATAAAGCAAATACTACTTCTGAATTTATTAACATGCTACGTTTCGATACACATATAGATATCTTTATCAAGCAAATACTACTTCTGAATTTAACATGCTACGCTTCGATACACACACACATATCGTTATCAAGCAACGTAGCATGTTAATCAATTCAGAAGTAGTATATCCATATAAGCGCTTTTAAATTCATATGTAATTAATGTGGATCTCAACCGGTGTTCAATACCCTGAATAATCTAAGACATTCTCTTGTACTTAAAGATGCATTAACGGTATGTAAGATTTAGACAAAGAGCTGGCGGTTCTTGCTTTAATAGTTCAAAAATATATAATTTAAAATTAATATATTGACAGTTTCATAGTGAAGTTATCACTGTTTGAAGCTTTGGCTTATATTGTTTATTATCGTAGCAACGTCACGTGTTAATCGATACTCAACCTCGCGTCTCCATTTTTAAATGGCGATTGTATTCAACCAGTTTACTTCCACGTAATTCGATGATCTGGAGAGTTAATTATAGGCTTGCCATGTGAATAAATGATTAAAAAATAATGTATATAACATTTGAAGCCAAATTAAAACAAAAACAGTTATGGGCAGAATTAGTCCACCCCACCCCACCCCACCCTACCCCGTCAACCACTAGATCCGGTACTGTCTAGTTGTATCATAAATGTTAACTGGATCTAAGAGTAAAGCTGACTGCGTATGTCTCACGGGAACAAACATTAAATGCCATACATACGTCTCTAATTCAATATGAAAATGGCTGTCGCGTTTTATTGTGTTCTATCGCAAAAATGCAACTCAAGGATTAAATGTAAATGAAATGATTTAGGCCCGTTTTTTTTTCAGTATATGCGTTTGAGGAAAACTGGTTTTAGAGTTCGTGACCTTTAAAGAACTTACCTGATTTACATAATGGTGGTTGGTATCCTGCAGCACACCCAGATTGGCAATGTCCGTTCTCTGATTTGCATATACTATTACCCAAACAATTACCACAGTCCATACACCCCTTCTTATCACTGGTATAATACCGACCGTCTCCACATGCTAAAATAAATATAAACAATTACTTTGATGAGAGAGAGAGAGAGAGAGAGAGAGAGAGAGAGAGAGACGTATATATGCTTCAATGTTATTTGAATACCCCGCATGGGCGAATATGTCTTTAGCATTTGGGAGAAACCAGAGGAGGACACAGAGAACCCCTACGAGTTTGGGCGGGTATGGAAGACAAAGCGGCTCTTTATTCTTAGTTCTTAATTCTTAGTTCTAAATCATAGTCCTTAATTCTTATACTAAAATTGGCATTTGTATCTTAAAACCAATATTTGTTTTTCAAATCAGATAACGCCACATACGACAATAAATGAAGAAATAAGAATTAAGAGCTATGAATTAAGAACTAAGAATAAAGAGCTGTTTGGTCTTCAATAGGTAGACGACAGACCCGCGGACAAAACACTCCACACACGGACATATTAAACAATAAACAATACCACACACGGACATACAAAAATAACACTGTCAAATCATATTTCACTATGTATATATAACATGTGATTGTCTGCGATATCACCTCGGTGGAAGCGGACGTTAAATAAAGCTATTTCACACACACATCAAGCGTAGGAACCTGGAGGTCGGATGAACAGGATAATAACATAGCAAGACACTGGTGTGCTATTGGTAAATTGTGCCTCGACTTTATTCCAATTGCCAAGGGTTCTTTTTGTCTGTTGTAGCTAGTGGAGATTTTAATGGAGATAGTCCCATGTCGAAGAAATAAATAAATCTTACTTTCGTTTTTGCTCGTGACTTGTTTACATAATATAACCATTAAGAAGGAGGAAGTGATAAATCTATTTATAAATCCACTTATACCGTACTTCCGGTATGTCGCCATCCCTGCAAACCTAACATAGAACAGTAAACGACACAATTATATAAAATTAAAATATTATCCCAAATCTCTAAACCTCTTTCTTGTTTACAGAGTTATGTTGGTAAACCCTTTTTAGCAGTCTTCCTAGTTCATCTATCCAAACATACATTCCTGGGTCCGCGTTAATTGGGTTGTGGGCAACTCGCCCCTCGACACGAATCTCCCGGGTGCTTGTCATTCCTAAGAGACTGTGCTATGTGGGAAATTTGCGGCACAACCGACTACTCTTATTTCGAATTCAAAGGATCATTTACGTGTACGCCAATGTGTACCTGGGACCTCGGTTTTTCGTCAAATAGGAACGACTATACGTTGTCCATCGCCAGGTCCTCGGCCCTGTGCCATTGACAAGGGGGTGGGGGGGCGCCGGAAAATCACGATGAACTTTCTCGGTCAACGCAGGCATCAAACATGGAACCTCTGGGTTAGCTACCCATCGTCATACACACTGAGTCGCCGTGGCTCCAGGACCTGGGAAGATATACTATTCAAAAAAAGTAGGGGATATTTGATTTTTAAGTGTTATTAAAGTCACCTAATGAAACTGACGAAGAAACAAATGACAAAATGAAATGAAGTTCACATTCATCGATTTATTCCAAATGATCGTTAGACTAAGTAAGGCCACTCACTCTCTCACCAGTGTCTGTTTGAAGACGAGCGCTGATCTGATTTGCTGTGATGACACGATTTCTCAAGGCCAAGGTACGGATAAATCGATCCTGGGCTTGAGTTGTCGCCCTTGGTCGACCTGAGCGTGGTCTGTCCTGTACAGATTGTGTATCACGGTATCTGGACCATAGCCTGCTTATGACAGACTGAGAAACATTCATCGTCCGCGCCACAACCGCCTGTGTTGTGCCGATCTGTAGCATGCCAAGGGCACGTAACCTTTCATTTTGGGTAAGCCGACGCATATCAAAATTTGTTTTCTGGTCACTAAAACAATTAAACTGATGTTTCCACCCTGGAATTCAATGCCACAATGACTGTAACATTCAAAGTCAGAGTCGTGCAAATCTTGGGTTGGACCCCCCATGATGATCCCAAGCATCACCTGCATTCCATGCGGTAGCTATTGGTGCGTTTGGGCGTCACATGTAACTGGAAATGTTTCTTCTGTTAGGTTCTATAGTGACTTTTTTCGTAGTCATTTGCATATTTTAGTATTATGCCCCCAAAATCAAATATCCCCTACTTTTTTTGAATAGTATATATTGGCGGCTATCTTACCCTATTAAAAGGTATCTTATGTCTTGGTATAATAGATGTTATCACATCCGTGTATAAACCTAAAGTGTTTTTAAAGATACCTTTATCTTTAGGTAAGGAGTTGACTGTTCTCGCTATAATACTTAAAAAACAAATAACTTAAATAGAATATGCTGTCTAGTCGTGCGGATGGTACGAAATACCGAGGTCCCGTGTACAAATTGGCTTGCATGTAAAAGATCCCTTTTATATCGAATTCCAACTGTTAAGGGATCTTTTACGTGCACGCCAATGTGTACACGGACCTCCAGGCTTGCGAGCCAGCGTCTTACCCACTTAGCCACCGTGACCCCCCTCATTTCATAGTAAATCTACACGTTATTTATGAACATGTGTACGACGTATGGGTATTCGTTTTTGGACTTAATCTGGGGGACTAAAACTATCGAAATACATCAGACTAAATAAAGAATTTATTAGCCATTCCTATTATTCAAATTCCACTCGGTCATTATTCTAAACCTTTTGATAATACCCCATTGAAACAAGATAGATTTAGATATATATATATACAAGCAAGATATAGTAAAATACTTACAAAATAATGTCGAAATGTCAGTGAATAATTCTAATGAAGGATCTAAAGCGTTCCAAGTACTTGATCTTCGTCCAAGTAACACGAAATCTTATAGAATGCACAAGGATATGTGAAATTAGCCCGGAAACGATGACTAAGTAATGATACACTTTGCTCACGTATGAATGTAGTTCATTGGTTGTTTAATTAAACCAAATAAAATGATTTCGGAGAATTGTTAATTATATATAATATAAAATTGATTAACGTCCTAGTATAACGCCACACGAATTGGACAATTCCCATTGATGATACAAGAACAGGAAAAACTAGGCGGGGAATATGAGCGGGGAAACTTGCACGATTTTTATTGGCGCTTGCTAGTACATAGGCTGTGATTGACAGGGAGTAAGTGAAAGATATGTTATAGATATGCATATTCTGCACATAATATCAAAATTTTATGAAATGAAATGGGGTTTAACGCCTTACTGTTTTGATCCTAAACTTGGCTTATGAAGCCGGGCATACGCCATACAGTGTGCTATGAGGGAAATTTTGCCCGGGAAGCGGCGCTACGGCCTACTTTTATATCGAATTCCAACTGCCAAGGGATCTCTTACGTGCACGCCAATTTGTACACGGGACCTCGGTTTTTCGTCCCATCCGAACGACTAGACAGCTGTCCTTGTCAGGCCCTCCGTCCTGCATCACTGACAAGGGGAAACCACGCCGGAATATCTGGATGAACTTTCTCGACCAATGCAGATATCGAAAAAATTTTATAAAACATTGACAACATTATGGATAACTGAAATTGACAAAAATACAATATTGTCGGTGATTAGCCAGATTACTTTTGCTAAAATCGCAATTGTCCATGATTTTGTTGATTTTTTATGATGTGTAGAATGTATATATCTATAACATAGCTTTCCTTGTTGGTCACGTTTTGTCATACTTTGGTCGCTACTGACCAAAACAAAACGCTATTGTCGTAGGTTCGCTCACCTGGAGGTCCCGTGTTGACCGAGGTAGTTCATCGGAATTGTCCGGCGTGATTCCCCCTTGTTAGTGGTACACGACGAAGGGCCTGGCAATGAAAGCGCATAGCCGAGGTCCCGTGTACACCAAGGCGTACCGTAATAGAACCCTTGACAGTTGGAATAAAAAAATTCCCTCATAGCACTCTGTATGGCGTAAGCTCGTCTTCCCAGTCGGCGCAGAACATTTATCTTGTTGGTGTTTATTATGATTTAGTATGAGTCCTGAGTCGTTTTCTCCCGTACAGGTCAGACAACGTATCAAATGCTTCTACATGATGCTCCCTTCCGTCAGCGGTCATGCCGGTTGTACAGAAATTGGGCGTAGTCTGTCAAATAAAATGAGTGCTCATTGACCTAGACGAGAACAATTATAACTGTAAGAAGAGTACACGGAAGTGTGAACGAGTATTCCATCTATAAAATTACGATATCGATATCATGGTTTATTTCAGCGTCGAATGGTTCCGGATGGCGTGAATAGCTGAGGTAACGTGTTCACATTGGCATATATGTAAAAGAACCCTTAAAGGGACAATAACACCCTTGCTGGCTTGACAGCTCCAGAAAATAAATAATAGCCTTATTCTAAGTATTAGATGTTTAAGTGTCCTACCTGTTGTGTAAATTATCCATTACATCCTATTTTACTTGTCCAGAGGGTTCGAAAATATATTTAAATCCAAGTCACATTTGAAAAGGTTTACGTTAGTCTTTTCAAATCCTTTAGTTGAATTTTTCAAATTTTTTTGAATTAGGTGTGATAAGATGAAATTTGTATCCCCAATTAATTGGAATATTGTAAAATCTACAATTTGTTGACCAGAATAAAGATTGGGACATATTATTCAGTTACAACAAGAGTGTTATTGAGCCTTTAAACATGTTTGATTCTATGAAAAGCCTACGGACACGCCGCTGTTTAGGCAAAGTTCCCTAAGCACAGCGTATTCCCGAATTCATTATCCTGGTAGGGTGCTCCCGTGTGGCCAAAATTTTCCCTAATGAAAGTTGAATTCGACACAGCGAATATGCAAGCTTCAGTGACTTGTCTCGAAGTGATTTCGGACTAGACATACGGTGCGATAACACTCGGCATGTGAAATTCTCTACACATCTATCAATTATTACAGCCGTAAAAAAATCCATTGTTAAAGACTCTGAATAGCAGTAATATTTAGATTTTTTGTTATTACAGCAGCTTAAGAAATTACGTTCGTTTTATTTTTAAAATTGCTTTATCATTAACTATACCGTTAGGCGCGGCATCTTTTGGTTTAGTACAAATAATATCTCCGAAACATTCGGGTTAGACAAGAACATGATACTTGCAGTAGTTTCATTTTACTTTCACAAGGTTCTTAAAACAATTGTTGAATTGCCAAAAGTGCGTGTTTCTAAATTCAATTTCTTGTTCCAGCTTTCCGTTATGTATCTTGATTATGCCGGAATGTCAATCAGACGGAGAATGTTCGGTAGACTGGTTAAGCGAGACTAATTTCAAAACAAGGGCACGTAACCTATGTTTTACTCAAAAGTGCCCGGTTGTTATGGCCGACACTCGTAACCATGATTTATTGATGGTTAAATGGTCATAGCTTATTAAGTACAACATGGTCGTTTAGTGACTGACTATACGTGTGCGGAACTTATTTAAGCTTGATATATATATATATAGAGAGAGAGATTTTGTAGTGTAATTGTCGAGATATTTGGAGATATTTATTTATGTTGGGGCACCCTAATTGTGGCTGGTGCAGAAAAGTAGGGCGTTAAACCCCCTTTCTTTTCATTTATGTAACTTCAAAATTATAATATTCCCTCTTTAACTTCAAAATTATAATAATTTAAAAAAAAAAAAAAGGAAAGTAGGCGTTAACCCCGTTTCAATTCATTCGAATTCCTTTTGTTAACAATTAATTTAGATAATCAGTGAACAGGATAGGAGGAAAGATCCAACCATGTACAACGCCTTATCCGTCCAAGATAGATAAAATATTGTAAACATGACTAAATATATACATGTATCTATACATGTATGTTTCCGTTTTTTGCTATTGTGCAGACCATGATAAAACGACATGTTATTCAGCCGGATGTTATATATTCAAGGACGTTAAAGGAGGTAAATCGCTAATATTTGGGACCTAGAAATTGACACAAATATGGGTCGCAACGCATATAATAATGTAATATGAATGTATATAAACTGTTTTATATTCAATCGTTTCCGTTTTTACTCTAATTTCAAATCCGTTATGTTCGGCGAAATAAACCAGAAGTGTCAACCGAATGACTATCTCTAGCGTCTGGTTATTCCAGTCTACGCCGATAGTATTTTTATTGCGCATGCTCTCCAGATAAGAATATGGCTTCGCCGTTTAACATGACTAGTGGAATATGTCTAGCCTCGTTCTTCGAGTCCCCTATTACAAATGGCGCTGAAACGCATTGTGGTTCACGATTCGTGTACCAATGGTAAAATGTTTATTTTCTCTTAAATATTGGATATCAGAAGCCCATCTTTTCAAGATATGATAACAACACGAATGTTGATTTAAATTGACAAATAATTCGTGTTTTGGATGTCAAAGACTTTGGGTGATACTGAGTTAGAGACATAGCTACTTTAAATATTTACAGTGGATATATACGTCGTTATTCCCACTTATGGTTACATCAGCAATATATCACGATTTATTTAACGTCTACGCTTACACACCCTCGTCGGTTTTATCGGGGCCTCCTGTTTCCTTCCACAGCTAAAAAAAATCCCTAAGCGCAAGCAAAAGAAGAATCCTACACCGAATGAAGTTAAGGGGGCGGGGGATATTGAAAAAGGCCCATTTTAACCCATTTTTGTTTCAACCCGGGATGTGTACATACATCAACCAAGTATACTAGTTGTGTCTTTTGGGCTAGATCTATTTATTAAGGCCAACTCAAGATTTTGTCAAGGTCGCTGAGATGTAATTATTTTTAGGGCAGGTGATTGTTGACAAAATACGTTAGTTTCCAATTGGCCAGTGTTTTTGGTGTTGCTACTTTTACAAACGGTAGTGTCAAGGAAAGCTATGCTGTTATGACTTTTGGTGACTATGTCTGACCGGTGACCGTTAAATCTTTCCCTAGGTGAATTTTGGGTATCCCCTACGTATTGTTTGTCACAATGTCTACATGAAATTAGATAAATGATATTTGAACTGCTGCATAAAAGTTGGTCTAATATTGGAAATTGTGTGCCAGATGTTTTGTTATGGAACTGGTCGGATATGTCAATGATTTTTTATGTTTAACATCTTGGGTGGCCACAAGTTTTGGTTTTAACTGCTAAATACATAGTGTTTGTTTCTTTGTTGGCAAGTCCAGCTAGAATATTGTTTTTTTATACGTCAGAGATAGCGTTTGGGGTATCCCCTTTCTCTTAGTTTGCTAAGATTTTATGATGCCAGAGAACGTATATTTTGGTTTTGGATGAAAGGAGCTTTTGAACAATAATTGATGTGTATCAGTTTCTTTGAAAATACTTTAGTTTCCAATTGGCCTGTGTTTTTGGTGTTGCTATTTATATAAACGGTGGTGTCAAGGGAATCTACGTCGTGTGCTGTTATGACTTATATTTCCGGTTAATTTGATTGTTCAGAATGCTGAAAAACGGCCACAATTCGTCATAGGTGTACGTCCAGACTATGAAAACGTCATCTAAAAAGCGTCCATAGAAATCTTGTTTTAATGAGTGGCAGAACTTTCCTTTCTCAATCCGCCATGAAGAGATTTGCATAACTCGGGGCAAATCGTTTTCCCATCGCAGTTCCGGAAGGCTGGAGGAATATTAGTCGTTGAAAGCGAAGTCATTTCTCTTCAGGCAGATGTCGAGTAATCTGAGGATTTCTCCGTCCGGTCTGGATGCTTCATAAGAAATGCTTTTCTAACTGCATCAGTTCTGCGTTATTATCGATGTTTGTGTACATGCTCCCTGTACGTCAATAGATATTAAAACGATTTACTTTGGGTCGCCAAACTGATTATGTGAATAAAATCTTTGGTGACTTTAAGGTAGGAAGCGTGTTGACATGCTTGGGCTAATAAGAAATGGTCTATATATTGTGATCCGTTGTATGATTCGCTGTCAGTCTGTAATTTGTATAAAACATTCCGTTGCTGGATTTTAATGTATTTTTGGTAGCGTATAAAGATGTCGTTGTCGGCAACAGAAATGGCGATCAGAATTATGTCCCTTAAGCCTAGATTATAACCCGTCGTACGTGCCACTACTGGCAGTCTACGGGGAAAATGTTAGTTAACCCGTGCGTGAGACTTACGCGTCACTTAAGGTTTCGTCAAAGTCATTTGAGATGTAAATAAGGTTAGGTCACACCGCACAATGTAAACGAGAGCCACGGTGGCTAGGTGGTTAAGACGCTGGCTCGCTAGTCTGGAGGTCGGGTGTTCGATCCCTGCATTGGTCGAGAAAGTTCATCCAGATTTCCCGACGTGGTTTCTCCTTGTCAGTGGTGCAGAACAGAGGGAGGACAGCTGTCTAGCCCTTCGAATGAGACGAAAAACCGAGGTCCCGTGTATACATTAGAATGAACGTAAAAGATCCCTTGGCAGTTGGAGTTCGAAATAAGAGTAGGCCGTAGTGCCACTGCCTGGGCAAAATTTCCCTCATAGCACACTGTATGGCGGATGCCCGTCTTCATTAGTCCAGTTTAGGAGCAGAACAGTAGGACGTTAAACCCCGTTTCATTTCATTTCATTTATATCGAATTCCAACTGCCATGGGATCTTTAACGTACATTCCAATGTGTACACAGGACCTCGGCTTTGCGTCCCATCCGAATGACTAGACAGCTGTCCTTGTCAGGTGCGTAAGAAAGAAAGCAAGATTACAAAATAACTGCTTTTATTGTTTTTACAAGATATATAACAATAATATTTACTTTGTTTAATCTTACATTTCATACAATATAATATACAGATGGTTAAAACAACCTTCCCTGATCTAGGGAAATTATTAAAATGTTACTTTATATTACCCAGTGCAGGGCCCTTATTCACGAAAACTTAAACTAAGATACAATCGAAATTTTAAGAAATACTGCAATTCGATTGGCTGACCAGTAAAATCAATTTGCATATATCCAATTTGCATATTGGTCAGCTAATCGAATTGCAGTATTTCTTAAAATTTCGATTGTATCTTAGTTTAAGTTTTCGTGAATAAGGGCCTAGGGCGATTAGAATTAAACAAAGAGTAGAAAATGTTTTTAAGAGTTAAATATAACAGACTTCCAGGAATTAGATGATCATAGTTCCGCTATATACATTTACAAATGCATTATTTACAAGATTTGGACAGGAACTTGCCAATCCTAGGCGAAGTTATAGATAGTCTCTATTGTCATGTATCATTGCTACGATAATAAACAAAATCTCGATTATTCATTTTAGCGTTAAATTATTAAATGGCACAGATGTTCTAATCCGATGATCTAAAGAGTTGATTATGGGTTTGTCATGTTAATTTGGAGATAAACACGTACGTTTTTTGTATTTAGAGGGGGTTTATTTTCCATTTAACCATGCTTGAATTATTAGAACACGAGACGCGGTTGCGTCAAGGTGTGCTAATGGATAATTGAAGCATGGATAAATGGACAATAAACCCTCGATTAATACGAAACACGAACGTGTTTATGGATATTGTAGCCCAAATATTTAGGAAATTTCTTCGAAACTCTTTGGGAAACATATTTACACCCATTTAAACTAGGAAGATTTATCTTAAAGGGCAATATTGGTGTCATTCATTATCACATGTGATAGAACTCGTTAAACACGTCCCAAATATAATTTTAACACGGAGATCATTGCTACGATAGATGCGTAATCAAGGTTTCTTGCTGCCCAAATTATCTGCTTCTTTGTATTCAACTAAAGTATCTCTATGTGATCTGTTTCCGGGTTTATTATTGGACAATGCTATATTATGAAATATGTTATGTTTATGCCAAGGTACTTTCTATATGTCTTCCTTTTCTAAGACAGCAAATCATTGCTAGTGCTATAGCCATTAAAAATAACTGAAAATAAATTTGAAACCAATACAATTATTAACGGCACAATAAAATGTAAAATAGTGGTCTTGTTTAAAGGGGCGTAAGGTAAGATTAGATAAAGAGCTAACAGTTCTCGCTAAAATAGCTTAAAAATAGATAATGGAAACAGAGTATGTTGAAAATTTCAGTCAAATTGCTTCACTTTGGACCGAGATATACGCCATCCAGAGTTATATGAGGGGCATACGACATACAAACAATTTTGCACGGACAATAATGCTCCGGCCTATTCTTATTTCGAATTCCATTTGTCAAGGGTTCTTTTACGTGTACATAGGATCTCTGTGTTCCATCTCATCCAAGTACGTGACAAGGAGTAGGGTCGCCTGTTCAACCTCGTGGGTTTTCTCCGGGTCCTCCGGTTTCCTCTCACAGCTAAAGACCCCTACGCGCAAGCGAATTAAAGAAATAAAATTGAACCATGTTAGTCCGGAAATGACCTAGTTTGTGTCGAGTGGACGTTAAACCCCATTTTTCTCTCTCTCTCTCTCTCTCTCTCTCTCTCTCTTTCATCTCGTCCCAACAACTAGACAACGCCTCTTGAAAAGCCACCTCGAGCTGCACCACTGAAAAGGGTGTACCACCCCGCAAGATAATCTCGAGGAACTTTCTCGGCCAAGACCGGGGTCGAACCCATGACCCTCTGGTTATTGAGCCAGCGTATTAATCGCTGATCCACAGCCGCCCCAAATTGAACTCTCAAAACATACGCAAAAATACCCGAAACATATAAAGATAGTAAAAGAATGACCATACCTGTAAAAGTCCTAAAGCGATGCCAGTGGCGCCTAATGCCAGGAAATTATCACTAATAAACATTTTAGCTGTATTTAAACATCCCTATAAATAAAGACAGTGACAATCTTAAACAACAGATACATTAAGTATATAATCCTCGTTTAATTCTATGAACAAAAATAGAAGTACTAGAATTATTCTAAAAGCTATAATAATTCTCTAAAACTTTCAAGAATATAATGCATATCTTATAGAGAATATAAGTAAGTCTATGGAGAAAGAGGAGGAATGATTATAAAATCTATAGAATTCATGATCTAATAAATCTTTCTTTTTCCATTTATTTTCTTCATTAAAACTAATCTACTTCCTAAATCGAGCTGAATTATAAAAATATATGAAAATAGAAATACCCAAAAAGAAAACAATCTCTTAAAAATGTTAAAATTGGTTATTATATGACAGTGAGTAGTAAATAGAGGATGAATATACTATATGACATATAATTTATCTGATATACATTTAAAGGAACATAATACTTCCGATAATACTTGTTCAATCCGCTATTACAAAATTTCTAGTGAACTAGAACATTTGTATGATTTAAATCGGGTATGTTAAGGTTAATGTGTATTTGAAAGCTTAAAATGAAATGAAAATATACGAAACGAAGTACTTTGACAGTATTGTTGATATTGGCATATTTTATGCTGTATAGGGGAAATCCCGTAAAATATACCCAAAGGTTGTATTATACCGCCATATTATCATATTTATAAAGGGGAAAACCCTGTATAATTGAGTTCAAGTATTATGTATCTTTAAGTAATGCATATTGATTATTACTTTATAAGAGAATAAAATTATACAAGTGACGATATAATGTGACGTTTACATAAATAACAAATACACACTGTACAGTTTAAGTGAGTGACATTTACATGCTGCACACATACATGTAAGCGCTGGATTTCATAAGTTTTCTATTTTATTTTCCACTTTCGTCTTAGATATACTAGACTTATATTTTGTCTTAGATACACCAGACTTCGATATACAAGATTTCGACGCACTAGACTTCGATATACTAGACTTCGATGTAAAAGACTTCGACGTAAAAAGACTTCCATATACACGACTTCGACAAATTAGACTTCGATATACTAGACGTCAATGCAAAAGATTTCGATATATAAAAAGTCGACATACTAGACTTAAGCGACGTTGACACGATACAGCCAGTCCATAACAAAAGTTAAAATCTTGAAATAACATATATAGTAAACATTGACTAATTATACTGTTTTACATATATATAATTCACATACAAAGACATATACTCTTTGATAAATGTAAATAGAAGCTGTTAATTGGCATTACTAAGCGAACATAACATTCAATATGTTATTCCCTGAGGTTCGACTGTTTATATACTTGTATAAGTCTTTAATCCAGTGACCACTAACCCATTTAACTACTTTGTTAAAAGATTAATTCTTTTATAGTACGTAGAACAGCTAAAGAAACGTTAACATGTATGCATATATTCTTTAGAAAACAATGAATGTGTATTCTGCGAAGGAGCGGTATGGTTTCATAAAATGACCCTCTTAATGGTTTCCTATTGTTAGACAGGTTGAAGTTTATACGAGAGTTACGCTGTCTGTCTACAATTAGCTCCGCTTTAGACCAGACTCGAAGCTGGTTGTACAATCTGATTAAAATACAGATTTATATTTCGTTTCGTTTTTGTTTTTTTATACTTTCGATGGCCAACAGTAAAACGAAATTTTGAACTATAAAAAACGAAACGAAATAGGATCTGTATTTAAATCAGATTGCTGGTTGTCCAACAAGAGAGAGAGAGAGAGAGAGAGAGAGAGAGAGAGAGAGAGAGAGAGAGATGGGGTTTAACGTCCACTCAACACAAACTAGGTCATTTCGGGACTAACATATGGTTTTATTTTATTTCAATAATTCGCTTGCGCGTAGGGGTCTTTAGCAGTGGGAGGAAACCCACGAGGTTGGACAGGCGACCCTACTCCTTGTCACGTAAGTTGTCCAACAAATTTCCTAATTTACGATATTAGTCGAAACACTAAGTATACTTCGAGAATGTTGAAAAGTATTTATTTTGCTTCCATTTAATAAAATTTAAAGTTTGTTTAGTATTTGTGAAAGATGTAAAACTGATTAGAACCGCATTAAGAAATAATCATAATACTTATTTCAAATATGGCGACCGTCCAAGTGCGAAGAATACATTCAAGTTGTTTGTCATTTCTTTAGCTGTTCTGTTTATCTGTCCATAACATTGTGTAATTATCGTGCAAATGAAAATGTTACAAATAGTTTAAGACATGACTTTTAAAGATACGACGAAGCGCACAACACTGCGCAATACTGCACACACACACCACAAACCATGGCAACACAGAATACACAATTAAGAGTGATTACGAAAGCCGAAAGAATCAGAGCCCAATGGCAAGTAGTATGGGATTACCCGATGAAATGATTATGTTCATTCTGCCTTGTGCATGACACGATTCACAACACAATTTGAATGGGCAAACAAGTTTTAGATTCAATATACACAAAGATGTTCCTTCTATCTGCCGACTTTAATATTTTCTAGTCTTTAGTAACGAAATGAAATGAAATTCAGTGGGGTTTAACGACATACTGTGTTGGATAGGCTATTGAAGACGGACTAACGCCATACAGTTTGCTATGAGGAAATTTTTTCCAGGACAGAGGATCTTATTATAAATTCCAACTGCCAAGGGATCTATGTGCACGCCAATGTGTACAAGGTACCTTGGCTTTTCGTCGGAACGACTAGACAGCTGTCCTTGCCAAGGCCCTCTGTCATGCACCACTGACAAGGGCAAATCACGCCGGAAAATCCCGATGAACTTTCTCGGCCAACACCGGGAGCGGACCCGTGGCCCCCAGGCTAGCGAGCCAGTGTCTTACTCACTTAGCCACCGTGACTCCAGTATTCAGTAACATATTTTGAACTCTAGCACAGGCAAAAATGTTCATTAGCTGCAGAATTCAATATTTTCTACAGTTACCTCTGTGAATGTTAGGTCAAATGTTGTTGTATATTATCCATGGTCCGAGCTCGACATAATTATCAATCCTGCATAACTTTTATTATAAGTCTGGGTGACCGAGACCAATATTTTACCCAGTAATTGACACTACTTAAAAGACAATGTTGGTGTCAGTCAATATTACATATGTGATAGACCTGGTGAAACACATTCCAAATATAATTTTAACACAGATCCGTGACAAAGATTTGAAGTATCAGGAAGTGACGCAAAAAACGGAAATCACAAGTTATCCTCAAGTCATCTACTATAGAGGTAGTGAGCGATAACATAACAGACATTATACAAACACATATTTATAATAATACAAGATGGTGACATTCATATACAAACCTTTTGATACGCCTTCAATTACAATAAAATAAATGAAAAAAAAAAGTGTAAATAAGAAAATGAAAAAAAAAATACTTTTGATCAACAGATTTAGAATTTAATTTACAGAAGAATAAGAGTTAGTACTGGGAGCTAATGAACTCACGTCATCCATCTCAGTGGTAGCAGCGGCCAAGCGAATACTCACTGATTGATCAAATTGGTGACTTTAATTTATAGTCAAATATTCCATTTGCGTATACTTAAGCTTAACGGGTACTTTATGAAACTAGGCCATGGGCGATACTGTAAGTATTTGATTCCAGTGCATCACTCGTCTGTTTCTTTCAAGCTTCCTATTGTTTCCCTTATGTTTGGCCGTTCTGAACAAAAAGTATGGCCGTTTTCACCAAATATTTGGGTTTTTAGAGTTTATTGCCCTTTCGTATTTAATCCCAAAGGTATTATTGACATCATGCAGTCAGCTTTACTGGTCTACAGGTATTATTACCTTTCGTAGGGGATATCAATCAACTCTACCAGTCTGCAGGTACTAACAGATTTATAATATTATCTAATCTCACTGTGGTCATTTTGAGACTGAGACGGTAATTATTTACTGATATATTAGAGAGACCACAGCGGACTAGATTTCAGTCCAGACTACAGATATAATTACTGATACATGTATCAGTGAGACCACAGTAGATTAGATATGAATATTATTAATCCCTCTTGTCTTCACCATTATTACAATCTGATTTAAACACAGATCCTATTCGTTTCGTTTTTTATACATGTAGTTAAAAATTTCGTTTGTCTTTACTACACTAGGATCTGGAAGAGTTGTTATATTACTGGCGTTTTGTCTGAAGAGAGGGATAAGCCAATGAAGCCAATGTTACGGCGACTTCTTGGCGTGTCATCCACGGAACTGTAGGTAAACCACTCGAAACGCCAACGCTGATTGATTAATCAATGTTTGACGTCATAGGGTCAAAAGCCGCTGGTACAACCCCTGGCACGACCTTCGAGTACATCTTGTCAGATCTTCATGTAGTGTAGGCCATCGAAAGTATAACAAAAAAACGAAACGAAATAGATCTGTATTTTAATCAGATTGTCATTATTCAGTTTGAGTTTATTGTCGCGTTTGGGTCTTTTTGGTTTATTGCCGTTTTGTCTTTAATCCCTCCTAAGACAGTGGTTGGCAAAATGCGGGTTGCTCATTTACCGTGGATTGTAACCTCTCTTCACCATTATTCAACTTTAGTTTATTGTCACATTTATATGTTCAGTGAAAAAAAGAAATAAATTTGAGGTAAATAAATAAAGTCATGGTAATAATATGATGACTTACAGCTTTATAGGCGTTTACTCCACCAGTTCCACAGCCTGAATACTGACAGCAGGAATCGGGTACATCATTGTTAGAATACGCTCCGCGATTACTCCAATCTTCCGGTCCGCGAACACCGCAACATTGGAACTGTAATAACACAACAATAGATGGTATACAATCCCGTTAATTTGAAAAAATGAAACGAAATGAGATGGGAGTTTAACGTCCTGTTGTTCTGCGCCGACTGGACTAATAAAGACGGACATGTGCCATACAGTGTGCAATGAGAGTAATTTTGCCCGGGCAGCTTCACTGTGGCCTACTCTTATATCGACTGCCAAGGTATCTTTTACGTGCACACCTACGTGTACGCGTGATCTCGGTCTTTCTTATACCTGTAGGGCGTTAAACCTCGTTTCATTTCTCTAACATCAAAATTATAATAATTCCTCTTTAACTTCGGTGAATAATTTTTACAATTAAAGGAAATAGCTGTAATATCAACTTACACCTCTTTGAATAGCATCCCATGATTGTTGTACTTTACGGTTCTCTAATCCAGCCAACAACTGTTCCTCGAGGCTTCGATTGACCTGGAATATCATAAAAGATACACATATTATTATATGGAAGTAGACGTCATCGGGAGATAATATAAGAAGTGTTGTTGGGTCATGCGGCTAGATAAGAGTGTCCAGACATTCTAGTAATGGCCCTGTAGAAACAGTATTATACGGTAACAAGGGCCGTGGTCGTATCATGCTTTTAGATTAGAGTTTCCAGTCATTCGGGTAATGGGTCCTATAGAAACAGTATATATTATACGATAACAGGGGGTGTTGTCGTGTCATGCTTTTAGACAAGGGTGCCCAGTCATTCAGGTAATGGGCCCTGTTGGAACAGTATCTTTATATGATAACAAGGGGCGTTGCCATGTCATGCTTTTAGACAAGAGTGTCCAATCATTCGGGTAATGGGCCCTGTAGCAACAGTAGGGGAAATGCTGCTGCTCTGGCAAAATTTTAGAATTCTTACAATATATTGTTCACGTAACTTCACAAAATTAGACTTGTCGGTTAATCGCCCTTGTCCTTCTTTTACAAGGATAACATCAGAATTTTTCCGTCTAATTACTATCGACCGAGGGGGTTGGATGGTCGAATGGTTAGCGCGTGTGCGTTTTATCATAAGGTCTGTCATTCAGTCAACTGGCGTGGTTTCGATGATTCCCCGGTTGTACGTGACAAGGAGTAGGGGTCGCCTGTCCAACCTCGTGGGTTTTCTCCGGGTCCTCCGGTTTCCTCCCACCGCTAAACATCCCTACGCGCAAGCGAATTAAATTGAACCATATGTTAGTCCCAGAATGACCTAGTTTGGGTCGAGTTGACGTTAAACTCGATCTCTCTCTCTCTCTCTCTCTCTCTCTCTCTCTCTCTTGACCGAGACTAGATGCTAAAACATCCAATCAACTGAATATTGTTCGCTATGTTGTCTGGTGTTAAGAGTCGGTAATTCTGAAGACACCAGCGCTGATGAATATTCATAAAAGCATTTAAAAGTAAAGATAGTCTTACAAAGCGTAGCAATACGCCCACAAAATAGCTATGTCTCGACAAAATGATAGTCAATGGCTGCAGCTTTCAAGAATCCCATCTCTATGGTGTTCATTATCTTGAAACTGTAACGTCTATCGCGTTCACAAGGTTCGTCTTCTCAATAACATAATGCCTCACAAAAAAATTGCAAAATCCGTTACAAACTTCTATGACGTTGAATATCGATAGGGTTCGTTCTCTTATGATTACAAGCTTTCGAAACAAATATATAAACAATCGGTAGAAGTGCGTATCGCTTGCAGGAACGAGGGGTTGAAGAACGGAAGAGTGGACCGACGGATTGGCGGACAGGGGTGCGGCATATTACGCCTTCACTAAAATATGAACGTATAAAAATATGTTTGACATACCTCGTCTCTGTAGATATAAGCTATTATTCCAACTGATATTTGAAGGGCAAACACAACCAGTATCATAGTAAAATACTAAAAATATGAAATGAGAATATATTATATATCATAATAGTAATATACTAAAATATAAAATGAGAATATATTATGTTTCATAATAGGAAAATGCTAAAATATAAAATGAGAATATATTATGTATTGTAAAATACTCAAAAGAAAATATAAGAAAGAATATATTATGTAATATAATGGTAAAAAGAAAGACAGAGAAAAGAAAATATTAGAACGCATGATAAAGATACATTATGTAAGATTTTGACAAAGAGCTGACCATTCTTGCTATTATAGATAATGTAAAATGAAAATATTGAAAATTTCATTCGAGTTATTTCATTCTGGGTCAAGTTATCACTGTTTGTAGTTTTGACAAGATGTGTGCACTGCTATATTCGATACTTAGCCTCGCTTTCCCATTTTTAAATTAAATTTTTAAATGGCGAACCGTTCTAATCTAGTTAAAATCTCGAGTATCAGATGCCATCGAGAGTTGATTATGGTCAGGATAAGTTACTTAAACATACATTATGCAAGAGCTAAATCTGTCTATTGCAAGTCTTTCTTTAGGCCTGAAATGTTATCTAAATTATTAATTAGACATTAATTAACCTATCCAGACCATAATAAAATCTAGATGGCATCGCTAGCCTGCGATCTTAAGTGAATTGTGAGCCGATTTACTGTATAACTTTCCTTCACGATTTAACGATTAAGTGGATAATCGAGACTTTGCTGTTTATCGTGCTGATTTTAGTAATGATGATCGAGGCTAGGCGGAAATTTCAAACGCTTAGTTCTCGGTTCGTAGTGGAGGAATTTGAATGAAATTTTCAGCAAATTGCCTTTATATTATCTAGTTTTTAGCTATTATAGTGAGAACTGCCAACTCGTTATCGAATCTTCCATAATGTATCTTTAATGTCTAATTAATAATTAAGATAAAATTTCAGGCCTAAAGAGAGAGACAGAGAAATGAGGTTTAACGTCCACTCGACACAAACTAGGTCATTTCGGGACTAACATATGGTTTAATTTTATTTCAATAATTCGCTTGCGCGTAGGGGTCTTTAGCAGTGGGAGGAAACCGGAGGACCCAGAGAAAACCCACGAGGTTGGACAGGCGACCCTACTCCTTGTCACGTACAACCGGGGATTCGAAACCACGCCAGTTGACTCAATGACAGGCTTTATGATACAGCAGGCCTACAGAAAGACCTGCAATAGGCAGATTTAGCTCTTGCATAATGTATATTTAAATGCGGCCCAGCTACATACCAAACAGTAGGATTCAACAGAGATATAGAACAACACAATCAGAACAAAACGTAAATAAAGATAAAGCAAAACATAAACATAAGATATAGCATAATGATAAAGAACAAAACACAAGTAGAACAACGAGAAAACACGAAAAATAAAGACAAAGCCCAAACCAGTATTAAGTATGAATAGTACGTCTATTGGATAACGGGGTCAAATATTTGTGACAAACACAAGCGGCACATGTCTAAAATACTGATGACAAGTAAAGCCTAGGGTTTGGTAGTTCGCAGACCAGCCGCAAGAAACCTGGTAAAAATTTTGTATGTGTAGGACCGAAAGCCTCTACGGCCAGTATAGAGACTACTACGATACCGAACACACACTAAGTGACGCGAAAGTCTCACGCACGGGCTTACTATAAACTCCCCCGTAGAGTGTCCGTATTAGCACGCACGAGTAGCACGTACTGCGGGTTGATAGTTAGGCTAAAAGGAGCTAAATCACTAGAAATTGACAGAAATGGGTTGCACCGCATATAATAATGTAATGTGAATGTATATAAACTGATTTACATTCAATCGTTTTTGTTTTTACTGCAATTTCTAATCAGTTATGTTCGGCGAAATACCCCAGAAGTCTCAGTCGAATGTCAATCTCTAGCATCTGGTTATTCCACTCTATACCGATATTATTTATTGCGCATGCTCTCCAGATAAGAATATGGCGTCACTGTTTGACATGACTTGTGGAATATATTTAGCCTCTTTCTACAGTCCCTTGTTAAAAATGGTGCTGAAATGCACCATGGTACACGAATCGTACCAACGGTAAAATGTTTATGTTGTCTTAATTATTGGATATCAGAAGTCCATCTTTTCCCCGTAAGATCACAACATCAATGTTGATTTAAATTGACAAATAATTCGTTTTTTCAATGTCGAAGATTTTGGATGATATCGAGTTAGAGACTTAGCAACACTCGGTAAAAACGATATATCTGGAATAAAATTAAACTTACAATAATCAGCATACATTGACTCAGCATACAGGCTCCACAGAATCCAATGATAGACACTACAAGAACGATAATCCCTGATGCCACCATCACAGCTACCACGTTGACAAACTCATAGTCTGGTAATAAAATGAGGACGTTTCCTTTACTTAGTTGTACATAACATCCAACCGCTATCATAGCTATTCCCATTAACTGTAGATACAAAACAAAATCAAATTTATAAACAGGTAGGCTAGATTAATTTGGGGTTATTTGAGTATAATATTGATTATATTTATTTTTTTATTTTCTTGACGAGAGTTATAATGTCGCTTTAAACTTTGAGCATCTCTAACTAATCTTGGGTTTTCTCCCCCCCCCACCCACTGCTAAAGACCTCTACGCGCAGGGGAATTATTGAAATAAAATTGAACCATATGGTTGTCCCAAAATGACCTAGTTTGTGTCGAGTGGGCCTTAAACTCATCTCTCTAACATATAGCGATTACTCCATTAAAAATAAAACGGTTACCCAACCGACCCTATTTATTTTTAAGGCCAAATCGCCGACCATACCCCCCCCCACCCCCACCTTCATTCGCCAGGAACTATCAATCAGTCTTGGTTAGGTTTGCAAAAAACCCAAGCAGGAAAAAAATGATTTTGCGACAGATCGACCCTATAGTTTGATAGTTTGTGGCCAAGTAAGCATAAATACCCATATTTGCTTTTTTTTTTCTTTTTTTTTATATATCAATGACAATATGGAATACAATGACAGGTTTATTAAATATATGAAGCGACGTTCCGACATAATATCTAAAAACACATGTCATTGTATTCCAGATGTTTGGTCTTTTTGGATTTTTTAAAATGAACTCTTGATAGGCCAGTATTGGAGCTGGAGTTTCGATAATTAGCTGAAGTATATACATGAATATGATATATTTCAAAATCATTTGTATCCATTCAGAATTAATTACATCCATTTCATTGGTAAAAGGGATCATACCAATGTATGTTAGATCACATCTTTAATCGTAGAGTTATAAACTGGCTGATATATAAATACAAAGTTTACTTACCAATAACAATACATTTAGAATCATAAAAATGATCCGGACACACGCAAATGACTTGACTTGCGGCATGATGATTGGCAATTAGGAACACCTGAATATCAAAGAAAAGATAAATGAATACTACATGTATCAATATACTAGATTATATGTTAGACAAGTATAGTGTGGGTGTAAATGGGGTGATGTATACCTTGCGTCTGTTTTTGCAATAAAGCCAAAGTAATTCTATTTTTTAGTTTTTCGGGTTATTGATAATTTAATAGCCATTCGAGTGTTCTGAACCATGTTAAAAAGCCAATTAGGTTTTTGAGAAGAGGTTGGACAGGACTGGTGACCGTACTCCTTGTCACGTACATGGAATCGAAACCACGCCAGTTGACTCAATGACAGACCTTATGATGCAGCGCACACACGCTCACCATTCGGCCCCACCCCACAATTATTGATAACTTAGCTCCCCAAAAAAGTAATTTAAATGATATTTTCAATATATTCATTATCTATCAGCTCGTTTTCTAAATCTTATATAAAGCCCCTTTTAATAAGTGATCACGAAGAAATAAAATTCAAATTGATGTGAACCAATTCTTGGAATCTCTTCCTAGGTATTGAATTCCGATTGTGAAATGTTGTTTTACGTGCACACCAACGGGATCTTGGCATATCGCAATGCACCACTGATAGGGAAAAACACGCTAGAAATTCCCGAGGATGTTTCTCGGTCATCATTGGGATTGACCACCGAATCACCGGAAAAACTAAAGTGTGGGGTGTGTGTGTGTGGTGTGTGTGGTGTGTGTGTGTGTGGGGGGGAATGATAAACATTTTGTTGAAGTGGTTTAGAAAATCAAAATGGGTTACGAAGTGGTCTTTAAACAAAGGCGAACGAGATAAATATGGCCCGCCGTTATGCACCACTGACAAGGTGAAACCACGTCGGACATGGCTCTATTGAAAATAATTTATCTTTATTACCGAGTGATGTTTCAATTTGGTTTATCCAGTCATTTCCATTCAACATTATATAATGTTATATCGCTGACCTATCAAAGTGTCATTTCAAAGTTACGAGCCTTCCCGGAGTTTACGCTCATGTGGCCAAATACAGTTGGTAACCCCAAGGTGGGAAATGAAAACATTTGGGGCAAGAGCTTTTCGTTTACTTGCTCCATCAAAATGAAACGATCTTAACCAGTGTTCATCAGAAGTGCTCCTTCTATTGAGTGTTTCAAATCCAGACTTAAAGTTACAATTTCATATTTTCTAAGAAAGTCAAAACATAATTATTTCTATGTCTTTTGCTCAATAGGTTGTCAACTCACTATTATACGATCATAGGTTATCTTTCTCACACTTAAAAATCTTCACACCGGAAATAATAACACAAATACCTCCCTTGTTTTCCTATTCCCCACCATGGAATAGCTATCTTCAAACGTTTGAATTTGAAGTTGAAAATGATATTTTTGATAATTTCTCAAATGGCAATAGTGAATTATAGGATTAATAGGATTATTCTTTAACAAGGTAGGACTGTTTATAGATACCATCTATTTTAGGGCTTTATTTTAATATACATTTTAAAAATATAACTTAAAAATATGAAATTGTAACTTTAAAACATACATATTTCAAGGCTATATTTAATTTAAAATTGTGTGTAGATAGCGCATAAAGCATACTTTAAGTGTCGAATTGACGCTATACAAATGTTCATATATTATTATTATACTCCCATTACGTCAATATGCTGTCTTGTTATTCACAAATTTAACATGTGTTTATTCTTAAGAATCTTTGTTTTCATTCAAATAATTCTGCACACTTAAGGAAGGTGTGGTGTATATGTGTTGTAGTTATAATATAAGAGTTAAGGTAGACTTCATCTAAGTAAACATGTAAATATTGAAATATTGGTCAAACAAAACGTTTATAAATTCTGATTCAAACGTTGGTTGGCCATACTCAATTTATAATCTTCATTTGATGTCTTCCGCTTCCGTGTATTTTGAAGTAGAATATTAAAACCATTACAGGTTTATTTCATAACATGTTTTCGAAAAATTAAAACACCTTTCTTTATTACACCACAGGGTGTGGCGCGTGGGCGTGCGTGTAGGGTGTGTGAGACGGGGCAAATGGTCTGCGTGCCCGTTAGATCATAAGGTCTGCCAGTGAGTCAAGTGGCGTGGTTTCCATTTCCAGGTTCTACGCGAAAAAGGACAAGGAGTAGGGTTGCCTGTCCCACTGCCAAAGATCCCTATACGCACAAGCGAATTATTGAAATGAAATTGAACTATATGTTAGCCCAAGAAATGACATAGTGTGTGTCTAGTGGATGTTACCCCCCCCCCCCTCTCTCTCTCTCTCTCTCTCTCTTTTATTAAACATAGGGTATATATTGTCTACAATATAACCATTTAAAATTTTATAACAAGTTTTATGTGAAAAAGATCTTTAATAAACCATGGACATAACTACGGTACATTAACCATGTGTAAAGCCACGACCCCTATGACTATAATAAAACCGTGAAATCAGGACCATGGTACGGTAAAATCACGTGTAGGGCTGATTCCAACGGTAAACCCAGGTGTTGGCCTCCCAGATTCATTAGGGACTATAACCGGTGCTAATAGGGGCTGAATAGGGTCAAAACCTAGGTGGCCAAAACGTGGCTCATTGCATCTAATCCCAAATGTTTTGATTTGAATACAGATTTTGGTAGGGATTCGGGTTTTGAGTAGGGTGTGGTATCTTGATATGTTGAGAGAATCGCCAATTTAAATACTCTCGCTTGCCGTGTTCGTATGAGCCAAAGTCTGAAATCCTATTCCTCGAAACGATGTAAAATAAGAAATCAGCAGTTGTGGCCTGGCAATTGTCGTCCAGCGGCCTTCCATTCATTCACAACTGAACCGTTCAAGCTTCAACATGCCAAACAATAATAATAACAATAGTATCAAGCATGAAACATAACGCCGTTTTTTATCTTCGAAATTCAATATTTCTAATTCTTGCACATAAATAAAACTTACGATATCAATGTTTATCCGAAACTCTCCCACTGCAACAATAATATCCAGAAAGTCTCTTCGATATTCACGTTGAAAACCTTAATAATAACACCAAACACGCATGCTTAAGAGGATTGCCCGCATAATAGGTTCTATATTTAACCTGTAGTCTATTCAATCAACCCGTCAGACCGGTTTTCTATTGTTATGGTCGCCATTTTTTGTTGCCTGTCGTCTGCTCACAAATTTACCTGCGCGCGGCAAACAATTCGTCACTCAGAGCTGAGTTGTCAAACAGTTATGCGCGTTGCACAACTATAAGGGAGCACTTGAACTGTACAATAAATAAAATGTTAATTTCCTTATTGCGTTCTGAAATATAGTGGCTCGGGTAGCAGCCTTTTCACCAGCTCTTTTTTTTTCAATTGCCAACTGCCCGCGCTTCTTCTCACAGAAGTGGACAATGGACACTTTTATTAATAAGAGCCTCGACAGTGCTGGATTATGCACGGGCGCAGTGTCCCCCCCCCCCACACACACACACACACTCGCACATCAGGGGGCCCATCCCAAGAAATTTCAGTTGCCCAAAAAGCAATGTGAGCATGGACTCCATTTTCTATTAGCAGTGATCGAGCTCTTCAAGGCCCATTATCGGATTTTCAATCCATGGTGGACCCGTGTTGTGGTTGACATTCGAGATTCAGTGTAATCCGGCGATGCCACGTCGTACTTTGACTGGTATCCATGTTTCTTTTCATTGTTTATTTAGCGGGAAAAGTGGTACCCAACCCTAAGGTCTGGTCACGACATACTCAAGACCCCAGGGACCCCACCTTGGTTAATCTGGCACACGTACCCTGACACCCAGATTCTTCTACACCCACTTTGTAACCAGAAAATATCTGTTACAATCAAACTGGGATCTCAGAGCTCATCCTGGCGATCGCTAACATCTGCGATTGCACAGGTCACCATGTATAAGAATTAACACATCATGCCTGTCTCAAAATAACCAAAGTATTGTGTTGATGAGACATTAAACCAAATTCTATAATCTGGCCACCCTTGAATTCATGGGTTTTGAGCATTGGGTTAGAGTTTAGGTAAGCTACAGAGTCCAAGAAATTTGCCACTTTTGGAGGATTCAAATTTGAGAAATATGGTAGTCAGAAATATGGGTAGCTTTGCATTTCTACAGAAGGGAAATAACTCTAGTTTGTATATGCAGTTTTTGACAACCTTTACTAATTCTTATAAAGAAAATTATTTGAAAATTCAAATAATCTTAACCAGAAAGAGCCCATCATGACACAATCATCTGATAAAACTATTAAAGGGGGTTGATGATTTCGGTATGTTTTACACACAATCTAAAATATTCACCAAACCCTAGCAGAAATTGTAAATTCAAACGCTCTTCTTTGATTGTAGACAAAAATTCAACAGAAATGGCAATGCCAAAGGGAGAGAGAGAGAGAGAAATGGGGTTTAACATCCACTCGACACAAACTAGGTCATTTCTGGACTAACATATGGTTTAATTTTATTTCAATAATTCGCTTGCGCGTAGGGGTCTTTAGCAGTGGGAGGAAACCAGAGGACCCGGAGAAAACCCACGAGGTTGGACAGGCAACCCTACTCCTTGTCACGTACAACCGGGGATTCGAAACCACGCCAGTCGACTCAATGACAGACTTTATGATACAGCGCGCGCACGCTAACCATTCAGCCATCCAACGCCCCAATGCCAAAGGGAGGACGAGGGAAAAAGAGATAATTGTAGAAATATACAAACTACATCCGTGTATTTAAATCACTAGCATTAGTCCTGCAGTCAATCAATGACAAACAATTTTATAAAAAATTCAGGGAAAGAAAATCTAAAGCAGTTGATAAATGGATTTATTTTACAATATGAATATAATACAAATGGCAGAATGATAATTCAATCACAATAACAAAGAAAGATATAAATTTTGTCTGCTGAAAAATTATCTAAATATTTTGTTATTATGTGTTGTTTAATGGTTGAGAACTAGACATTAAGTAATATATTGATACAGTAAATTGTATCAATATACAATGCAATGTCTAGCTCTAGACTATTCTTACAATACAGACACCATCCTGCATGTACATTTCAACAAAATCATCAGTGAGTTCAATATTTCACTAATGTACGATTGGCATGTTGCCCTTACCATTATTTGAAATAATGGTATGCTGACTGAAAAAGATGACGTCACATCTGTATGTTATGTTATTAGAGTGCTTTTATTGTTTAATGGCTTTTGAATGACAGTTGTTACAAAGTCAGGTTTTACTAAACTCATTAATTCCCAGCCTGGTATTTAACAATCTCTATTAACACTGCTTACACATTTCAGCTCCAAAATATTTATATTGTTATTTCAAAAAGTTCACAGTTATTGTTTTTTAATAATCATTTTAATCAAAGTGATTATTTTTCAAGAGGGGCGTAATTAAGAAGTTTTTCAATAAGATCCACATGAGAAAGCAGCATTCTTCGACAGCAATATCTTCGTAATCCAAGAGCATCCAAGGCATCACTGAAATTGAAAAAATCAGTTGATGAGATCAAATAAAACAAAAGTGTCTAGTGGTCCAAAGGGTATACGAAATAAAATGGGGTTTAACGTCCGACTGTTCTGCTTCGACTGGGCTAAGGAAGACGGGGCTAAGGGTATACATGTACCAGAAGCAGCACGTTAAAATAAGAAATGGGGTTTCATGTCCTACTTTTCTGCTCCGACTGGGATAATGAAGACTGGTATAAGCCATACAGTGCCTGCCATGAGGGAAATTTTGTCATATTCTTATATCGAATTCCAACTGCCAAGGGATCTTTCACATGCATGCAAATTGTACACGGGAACGCGGTTTATCATCCCATCTGAACGACTATACGTTGTCCCTTGCCAGAATCTGTCCTGCACAACTGATAAGGAACCACGCCGGTAAATCCCGATGAATTTTCTCAACGAATGCAGGGATCGAACACGAGACCTCCAGGTTAGCAAGCCAATGCCTTACTCACTGAGCCACCGCGGCTCCCTGTTAAAATAAGAGTAGTTGGATATTATAATAAGAGTAGGCAGTAGCACTGTACGTTGTCTCCCTCAAAAAACTCTGCATAGTGTGATCACCTCGAGAGCTAAAGGACACTGATCAGATTTACCTTATAATTAATTTTATGAGTGTATCAGACAAACAGTAAAAAAACACTATGCCTTATCGAATTCCAATTGTCAAGGATTTGTTTACGTGAACATCAATGTGTACACAGGACGTCAGTTTTTTTATCCCATTCAAATGACCGGTTTTGGAGCTTTGAAATTTCACGCCCCTACTTCTCCGCACCGACTGGGTAAATGAAGAGAGGTTTACACCATACTGTGTTCTATGAGGGAAATTTAGCCCTGACAGCGGCCTACTCTTATTTCAAATTACAACTGTTCTTTTACATGCATGTAAGTCAAGATAATAAAATGGCCGCATAGTATAATGGGACGGTAGTGATTGCAGTTTTGAAAAGAGGCTGTAGTACGAAATAAAATGGGCTTCAACGCTCTACATTTCTGCACCAACTGGAATAATGAATACAGGCATGAACAATGTGGTGTGAGATTAGAGAAATCTGTCCTTGTCAGGCCCTCTGTCCTGCACGACTGACAATCGCAAAGAACTTTCTCAACCAATGGGAGCAAACTTAAGACCTGGTTAGCAAGCCAGATTCTTACTCACGGGGGGGGGGGGGGGGGGGGGGGGGGGGGCGGTGTTGGATGGCTGAATGGTTAGCGTGCGCGCGCTGTATCATAAAGTCTGTCATTGAGTCGACTGGTGTGGTTTCGAATCCCCGGTTGTACGTGACAAGGAGTAGGGTCGCCTGTCCAACCTCGTGGGTTTTCTCCGGGTCCTCCGGTTTCCTCCCACTGCTAAAGACCCCTACGCGCAAGCGAATTATTGAAATAAAATTAAACCATATGTTAGTCCCGAAATGACCTAGTTTGTGTCGAGTGGACGTTAAACCCCATTTCTCTCTCTCTCTCTTACTCACGGAGCCACCGCGGCTCTTAAGGAGAAAAATAAGATGTTGATTAGTAATAAGTATACATACCCCTCGGTATACTCCACCTGTAATAAACCAATATATGCCTCCCATTTATTACCAATAACTTTACCACACGTAAAACATCGAACTGGTATAATCATTCTTATAGCTCTAGTTTCACAATTTTATTATAGGAAAATCTGAAAAGGTAACATATTAGTATTTAAAAGATAGGAGTTTTATTATTTTAATTTATTATATAGCTAAATGGTTTTATTTATATAGCTAAATGGTTTTATTTCAGTGGCAGTTAATAATTAAACTAGAAATACAGGACGCAATTCATAAAATACAATTACTAATTATTACTGAGTGACGTTCCAACTAGGATTCAAACCAAGCAACGGTCAAAGACCAGAGAATCCTAGTCAAAATATACTGCTCACAGCAATAAAAAAGTATTTCACATTGTCAGAGACGGCCTGCGGTGATTCTTCTACTACTGCTGTTTATGATGGTTATTTGATTTATCACCAGAATCAATGGTAGCACGTCATTTTTGTCCCGCGTCATTTCGGACTCAACACAGACGACCTTTCGGACTCAGTTTGAGACGGTCCGGACTTACTTGATTTTTCGGACTCTGTCTGGCAACGTTTCGGACTCGTATGAATAATTAAAAGACTGTTGAAAATTTGTGTGATATATTTGTAATAGCTGGGGCTGGGGGGGGGGGGGCGTTTTATGGGAGTCCGATAGTTGTTTTGTTTTATTTAATTGATCGGTGATTCTTGAGACTGCTAATAAAAAGATAACACTGATTTTACACTGCTTGTGTATTGAACTTGACAATAAAATATTGTTGAAAATTTGTGTAATTTAGTAATACTGCTAATATTTTTATAATTGTGTAAGCATAAATGTCTTTTACATGAGTCGGAATAATCGAATCAACACACGGCCGCCATTATCGCTGATTGACCACTCACGTTTTTCCTCGTCTACTAAAGAACTGTAAGGTTTCTTTGCACCTTACTACAATAACATAGGGATTATCAGTTAATCAGCTTTAATCATCCCACTTTGATCGTTGCCATTTCTAATATTTTCCAAAAAGAGTTTTCTTTGTACGCACTAATTTATCGATTGGTACTGCTATCTATGGCAAGCTTGTCGAGGAATGCATGTCAACGTGTAGTGTATCTTACGGATTATCGTTAAAAAATTCCAGAGGCTTGTAAAAACAGTGAATGTCGAGTAAATATTTACTTTTGTTTTTTAGTGTAGTTCATTTTGAAATAAATTCTACAGCATATTATTCTTTTTAAAAAAAAATAAATTACTTTTACGGGAAAAGATGATAAAGAACCGTAAGTCCAACTATGTTTTATCGTTTGGTAGATTCTTTTAATAACCGCATATTTCATGTTAATATTTTCTTTCATTTTTTTTATATACATATTACAGATATAAAGAAATGAAACATTCTTTTCATAAACATTCAACAATGAAAATTTTGCAGTTTCTTGCATATTGAGAGATCTATATGGTGCGTGATCCATGATTCCACATGCTGTATTTGATTGCGAGCGGTAAATTTTACCTGCATGTTATTTTTTATAAAATCGCTTTTGGTTTATTATAGGATTGATTTGACAGTTGTGTTCAACCTTTCCTTTCAACTTATTCCTGAGTCCGAAACGTCACGTACCTGAGTCTGAAATGTCACCTTCCCGAGTCCAAAACATTGAGGACATATTTTCTTGAGTCCAAAATGTCGCGGACCGAAATGAAATATAATTGAATCAATATCCAGTAATCTAGATCACATTGCAAACAATGGTTTGCATTTCAGGTTACGTATAATAATAGGTCTTGCTTTTAAAAAGAAATTTCTCCAATCTTTTCTTTGGATGGGTATATAAATACTAGAGCATGATAATATTTTGTCTAACTACATGTAGGTTCGGTGTTCGTGAAAGTTTAACAAAAGAGCACAAATGAAAATCAAAATGTGACAAAACCTGAAATTTTGGTTTTTACGCAATTCCCCAATTGCCGCAATGTATCAGTGATGGGATACAGTAACAACAACAATTAAATGTTTGAACTACTATTTCCTGAAATTTGGCCACAGGCTACTGGCAATATGTTCTAATAACAACTCGCCAATTTGTGAAATTAAGTTAATAACATCAAAATGTTTACCAACAACGTCGCAATTTTCAATTTTCTTCTTGCACCATGCGTTCCTCTGAGAATTACTTCCCTTTGTTTAAACAAAGTCGCGATTACGGAGTCTTTTATTTTCTATGAACTATGGTAGCTTAGTTGGGACATTTGCATTTTTCAAATGACTTGACAACCGACTGCGACAATTCAACCGGTTGTGTGACCGTCGCTTGATAATTCAAGAAGAGGAATAGCTTTTTTTTTTTTTTTTTAAAAAGAATTGATGTATTAAAGAATGTTTGTTTGGTAGTCTAATTTCGACTGGCGTGGTTTCGAATCCCCGGTTGTACGTGACAAGGAGTAGGGTCGCCTGTCCAACCTCGTGGGTTTTCTCCGGGTCCTCCGGTTTCCTCCCACTGCTAAAGACCCCTACGCGCAAGCGAATTATTGAAATAAAATTAAACCATATGTTAGTCGATACCACGCCAGTCGACTCAATGACAGACTTTATGATACAGCGCGCGCATGCTAACCATTCAGCCATCCAACCCCCCTCTACCTGAAAGCAAACGGTTGAATAAAATAACATTACAATTAGGACCTATCATATTTTTTTATTTTTTTCAATGAACTTAGGTACTATTTATTTTGTAGTTGGTGTAATGTTTTTTTATTGACAATTTTGTTCGGCATAACGGAAGATAACTCCATCCTGATGGTTAAAACCATTGGAAATACTAGTCAAGGAGAAGTTTTTACCGGTTGCTTCAAAATAAGGAACCTGTGGATCATACAGTCGGGATTGGGAGTTACAAGAAGCATAGCGTCACTAACCTCGTGAGTGTGCACACACTATGACACATTTCTAAAGAGTGGTGCACACATGAATTATTGTAATAGGCCTAATAAATTGTGAAATTGTCCTGCTGCCTCGAACTTATACATGTCAGTAAATTTACATGTACATGCCATAAAATTAGAATTTAAAAGAATCTAACCCAGACACACAACATGTACGTGTCTTTTTGTCACTGAATTTTGTCGACCATTAAAGATATATGAAAGTTGGAATTCGAGGAAGATTAGGCAACGTTCTCCCCATAGCACACTGCATGACGCACGTCCGTCTTCACCCAATCTGATTAAAACACAGATTATATTTCGTTTCGTATTTTATATTTCAAAATCTGGTTTTACTTGTCCGCCAACCCCAACCTTAACCCTAACCCTAGACCTAGCTTTAACCCTAACGCTAATCCACAATCCTCGGCATCAATCACATGCCCTAACCCTGTTTACATATCGTGACCTTGACGAAATCTGCAGGTGGCCTTAATATTTAGATCTGACCGTAGGGTTGTCCATGGAAAGTATATTAAAACGAAACGAAATATAGATCTGTAATTTAACCAGATTGGTCTTCACAAACCAATTTATTTCATTTCAGTTTGTACTGCAGCCGATTTCAAAACTGCATTCACTGGCATTCCATTATACCCCTTATCTTCCTAACATGTATTATTACTTTGTTTCGGTTTAATTTCTGCACATTACTACTAAAACCGATCTAGTAATATTAATATTGTCTACAGTAAGTAATACATTGGCTCGCTAACCTGGTGGTCCCACTTTTCAGTGGTGCAGGACGGGGGGGGGGGGGGGGTCTTGGCAAGGGATGGGATGAACATCTGAAGTCACGTCTGTACACATTAATGGACAAGTAACAGAACCGTTGACAGTTTGAAGTCGATATTAGAGTAGGACGTAGTTCCGCTACTCGGGCAAAATTTCTCCTAAAGCACACTGTATAGCGTATGTCAGCCTTCCTTAGCCCATTCGCCGCAGAGCAATAGGACGTTAAACCCTATTTCATTTCATTTCATGTTTTAATCTTAAAAATACCTCTTCCTCATGCATATATTTGTTTTATCTTTTGGATTTTTTTTATTTCTCCCTGGTTTGAAAAATAAAAATGCCCAACAAATACTTTTTTTAAAGAAACTTTATATTGTGTCAGTAGTAGTATATTTCTAACAGCTGAATTTGCCTTCCTGAGTAGCACATAATGGAGATCCAATGGGTTCACATATACCTAGAATATATATAATATATATCATTATAAAACATTATATTTTATATGTGTGCCTCTATGGCAAAGAGCAGGATAAAAGGGTGGGGTGGGATGTACAGGCGCTGCTTCCCCCGGTCAGTAAAATAATGTGTCTCGTAGAAATAACATTTATAGTTTACAATATTTTATATCAAATAATTGACAAAGGCATTAGCATAATTTATAGAAATTATGAACCATCTATATACAGTCATTAGAGAGATAACTATTTTCGGTCAATTTTCATCGTTGAATCCGGACTAAACTTTACACCCCTCGTAATCACGCTCGGGTAGGGTTGGGCAGTGGATAAGGCGTTGGTTCACTAACCAGGGTCATTTCCTGGTTCGATTACACTAGTAGAGAGAAATGGGGTTTAACGTCCAGTCGACACAAACTAGGTCACTTCGGGACTAACATATGGTTTAATTTTATTTCAATACTATGCTTGTGCGTTGGGGTCTTTAGCAGTGGGCGGAAACGGGAAGATCCGGGAAAACCCCCGAGGTTGGATAAGCGAGCCTACTAGTTGTCACGTACAAGCTAAGAATCGACCCCCTCACTCTCTCTCTCTCTCTCTCTCTCAAGCCATCATCGTTGAGTTTACCCGGATGTCCAGTAGTGTCCTTTAGATGATTTATATTGACACCCTGCGTCCAATCACAAAACGGATCGCCCAGTTCCTCGCCGTTTGTTTTCCCATCACCATCACTATCAGCATTACACAAAGCTATAGTCCACATATGATAATTTTGTGAAAACTCCTAAAATATAACACATAGCTGTAATCAACAGTAGCTCGGGTAGTTTTTGGACAAGTATATAGTCCTTATTCTTTAATTGGCATTTAGTAACTGGGCAGATAAATAAACTATAAACATACTTATGGAAAACAGCTACTGATTTATTTAGGCGACGTTTCGAAGAGTATTCTCTCAACGTTTTCAAGCTAATACAATATAACAAAATTTGAACCAACATATATAGACAAAATTACAACAACAAGGTTGAAACCATACATAGCAACAACAAAATCAAAGGCCTATGACACATGGGGCTCTGCTGACTGGACGGGGAACTTGTGTCGTAGGCCCTTGGGGATGATGTTGTTGTCTCTGCATCGCATCAAACATGTGAGGTTGCAATTGGTCTTAAAGATACATTATGGGGGTCGTTTATAGAGAATTGGCCATTCTTGCTATAACAGTTCAAAAGTAGATGATGAAAGAAGAATATATTGAAAATTTCAGTCAAATTACTTTATTCTGAACATAGTTATCATCGTTGTAATATTTGACTAGAAATGGTAGTGAAATGTGCCTTCACCTTGGCCGATTGTTTGATTGACAGGCGTTAACTCCACCTACATATCTCGATTATCAAGTAAAGTTTTCAATGGCATGCGGAAACGCTCTACAGCAACCTCGCTAGGTACACTCTATCATTTAGCCTCGATCTAACTGACGTATTCTCATCAGGATGCGCCATATTTGAATTAATTAATAAGTGAAATACTATTTAAATCCGAGCTGTAGCCGAGCCATCCGTGGGTCTTGTTGTTTAAATAAAGTTCTAATTTATAATTTCTATAACATCTGAAGCCTAAATTAAGACTTGCAATAATCAGATTTTGCTCTTGCATAATGTATGTTTAAGTATATAGTCCTTAGAATTAAAAGAAATGTACACCTAAAATACTTTCACTGCTGAGATTCAGAGACTAAACCTAACATGTTTCCAGATACACGAGATAGACACACGCTTTACATTGACTCTAACTGACATGGATAGCAGAATGTAGGATTACATTTTAAGCCAGAGCGTGTACATACATTAATGCTGCCTGGGCGAAATTCCTCACACAGAACGCTGCTGGGGATGATCATCACAGTTGGTACAGAAACGTAAGACACTGAGAGAGAGAGAGAGAGAGAGAGAGAGAGAGAGAGAGAGAAATGGGGTTTAACGTCCACTTGACACAAACTAGGTCATTTCGGGACTAACAAATGGTTTAATTTTCATTTCAATAATTCGCATAACCCACGAGGTTGGACATGCGACCCTACTCCTCGTCACGTACAACCGGGGAATCGAAACCACGCCAGTTGACTCAATGAAAGACTTTATGATACAGCGCGCACGTGCAAACATTTCAGCCATCCAACTCCCCCCCCCCCTCGTAAGACACTGAACCCAATTTCAATAAGCGACGGGGTCTTGGCGAAATTCCCCACAAAGAACGCTGCCGGGGGTCATTATCCCGGAAGACACTAAACCCTATTTCAATTCTTGTGATATTGTGTTCGCCTCACCGTCTCCACCTCCTCCGTAAAATAAATAGAATTGTGTAACTCACAAGTCCAAACGGATTCAATGTCCCACCACCATTTTGGTTATAATGCCCAACTCCATTCCAAATACCACCAGTGCCACATGGATTAGGTACAGAATCGCCGTTCGGTATTCTTTCGCGGTAAATGAAGAGTCCTGACACAGCTACGAATAAATTAATAAAAAGAATTACACATGTGAACATTTTGTATGCCGATGATTACCGAAACGATTATGAATTGTTTAATTCAGATATTAAGCTAGTCAGGCGGCCAGCTATCTTAGATAAGTGTAACCTTCGTGACAATATTTTTCTAAATGCAATTTGGAGAAACAACTAATCTTCTTTCGGTGAACACATTAAAGTGGCTACCTAGACTAAAGTAGTTGGAAATGAAATGGGGTTAAACGTCCTATTTTTCGGCAGCAACCGAGATAATGAAGACGGGTATACACCATACAGTGTGCTATGAAAGAAAGTTTGACCAGGCGGTGGCATATCTCCTTACTCTTAATCCAATTGCAACTGCCAAGGGGTCTTTTCCGTGCAGGCCAAGGAGTAAACGGGACCCCGATTGTTCGTTTATACATGTTGGGTTTGTCATAAACTGAAATGAAATGAAATGGAGTAGAACGTCCACACCATTCTGTACCGAGTGGGCTAATGAAGACGGACACACGCCCCACACTGTGCTATGAGGCAGATTATTTTGAATTCCAACTGTCAAAGGTTCTTTTACGGGCGCACGGGACCTCTGTTTTTCGTCTCTTCCGGATGACTAGACAGTGTTCTGGTCAGGCCTTCCGTCCTGCACCACTGAAATTCCGAGGAACCTTCTAGACCAACGCCGGGAGCGAACCCGAGATGTCTTGGTTAGCGAGACAGTGTTTAACTCACTGAACCAGCACGGCTAGATCGAAATATATTGGACAAAACCCAATCTGCACTATTGACCGGGTTTCTGCATTAGATTAAGAGATACGAAATTCAGATGTTAATTCTCGCGATAAGAAATAATGCGACTTTATAAAACCGTCACACAAGCATTAACTTGACCATAAATAAGCATATCAACTTTTGCAAAACTTCAAGAATGTTGCGTGTAGCTATTTTGATTGTTAGCCTCTCCCTGGTATCCTGTCACAAGGATTATATGGATCAAATTCCGAATGGTCACCAGGTTAAACATCCGTGTAAGCCGAGTGAAATCTGGCAAGCTGTAGGTCATAACGATCCACTGGATGGCCATAGTGGTGTCAATGTATTTGGTGAAGTAGTGCAAAAAGTGTCCGACAAGGATATTTTACACATCATATACAAAATTTAAATGATTTCATAAAAAAAATGGAAAGAAAACCGCTCATTTCACCGAACTATCTGCTTGACATACAAAATTGATACATTTGAAGCAATCTTAAGGTCAAAAGGTCGAAACTAACTATCTAAATATGTTTATAATATTATGTTAGTATTTGATGTCGAAACACATTACGCCTAGAAATATAACTGGTATCCACTGAGATTATAGCATGCCTAGAAATATAATTGGCATTCACTGGTTATAGTACGCCTATAAATATAACTGGCATCCACTGAGGTTATAGAATGCCTAGAAATATAACTGGTATCCACTGAGGTTATAGCATGCATAGAAATATAATTGGCATTCACTGGTTATAGTACGCCTAGAAATATAACTGGTATTCACTGAGATTATAGCATGCCTAGAAATATAACTGATACTCACTGAGGTTATAGCATGCCTAGAAATATAATTGGTATTCACTGGTTATAGTACGCCTAGAAATATAACTGGTATCCACTGAGGTTATAGCATGCCTAGAAATATAACTGGTATCCACTGAGGTTATAGCATGCCTAGAAATATAATTGGCATTCACTGGTTATAGTACGCCTAGAAATATAACTGGCATCCACTGAGGTTATAGCATGCCTAGAAATATAACTGGTATCAACTGAGGTTATAGCATGCCAAGAAATATAATTGGCATTCACTGGTTATAGTACGCCTAGAAATATAACTGGTATTCACTGAGGTTATAGCATGCCTAGAAGTATAACTGATATTCACTGAGGTTATAGCATGCCTAGAAATATAATTGGTATTCACTGGTTATAGTACGCCTAGAAATATAACTGGTATCCACTGAGGTTATAGCATGCCTAGAAATATAACTGGTATCCACTGAGGTTATAGCATGCCTATAAATATAATTGGTATTCACTGAAGTTATAGTACGCATCGAAATGTATTTGATGTCAACTGAGGGTATAGAACGCAAAGAAATGTAATTTGTATCCACTGAGGTATAGTACGCCTAGAAATGTGACTGGTAGCCATTGAGATTATGGTATGCCTAGAAAGATAAGTGGTATTCACTGGTTATAGTACGCCTAGAAATATAACTGGTTTCCACTGAGGTTATAGTACGCCTAGAAATGTTAACTGGTAGCCATTGAGATTATGGTATGCCTAGAAATATAAGTGGTATCCACTGGTTATATAATTGGTATCCATTGAGGTTATAGTACGCTTAGAAATGTAACTGGTATCCACTGAGGTTATAGGGTTAATCTGGATATGTTTGATTAATTGACACGAGAGGCTTTTGACTCTATCACGTCAGACATTTGATTAACCAATCAGCATTGGTGTTACTAGTGGATTACCCGCAGGTCCGTGCAAAACACCCCTAAAGCTCGTCGTAACAGACGGTTTCATTGGCTAATGCCTCACACCATTCCGAATACGTTAATGATAACAACACTTCCAGATCCTAGTAAAACGAAATTTTGAACTATAAAAACGAAACAAAATAGGATCCGTGTTTTAATCAGATTGCCTCGAACGGGTCACTAATCTGAACATGTTTTATATTTAGTCAATTGTACGTTATATTTTCAGGACTTTAAACGCCACAATAAGCAATGGGGTAAAGGTTTGTGTATGGCAGACTCGGACAAAGATGGTAAAACTAACGGACAAGAACTGGGTGATCCTTCCTGTATATGGACCAGTAGCGGTAGTCACAATCTACCAGCACCAACGGGACATCCAGGTTAGTCTGTCGGTTAGGGCTAAAAGCCAAGACCCATTTCAGATATTGTCGTAGGTGCCCCATCCCTATTGGCATCTCTTGGTCTATGACGAAATCTGCAATGGTACTTTGCCTTTACTCTAAATACAAACCATTTTTAGAGAACAGGGTGTAGCAAAAAGATAAATATTTATCCCCAAGCTCGCCAGACAGAGGCGAATGTAGCATATTTGTGAACTGTAACATCCAATTCCACCATCTATATCAAATCAACAATAAACTACACGTTTCATAGAGATAGAATAATAAGTGTATTTTGTTATACTGTTATTTAGGATTAGGAGCCTGGGTCCCTGGGACTCCAGATCTAAACCTGCCACTGTGGTCAGCATTTTCTTGTGGTGTATATACTGAGATGATGCCCAAGGTGAAAACCTCCCAATGGGGCATATTTTTTACGGATTAGCATTCTCATAGATTCAATTTAGAAAACATTTCAAACGAATTATGAACAGGGCCTTTTTACGCAATACATGTATATATTACATTGAACTTATTTAATTGGTTTTTTTTTCTTTTTCAGGTATTTGTGAACCTGTTGGATCCCCTGCCTGCTCTTTCCAGGCGTTCTCCTGTGGTAGTACATTGTTCGGGGTAACGGGCCAAGTGTCAGGAGGCCATGACAAGGACCACGAGAAGGATCATGACAAAGATCATGAGAAGCACCATCACGACAAGCACCACCACGACGACGACGACTAGCCCAATTACTTCTAGCGTATAATAAGCTCATTTTTGATGAGAATATTTTATATTAAGAAGCTTTTAAGTCTTTAAGTTGAATACACAGATAATTTTGTTCATTCCTATTTAAACGTTTGGGAGTTGAAAGCGCCTGATTTTCAGAAATAAAACATAAAATGATTTATTCTGACAATTCTTTAAGTTAAATACCTAGATAATTTTGTTCATTTCGATTTAAACGTTGGAAGTTAAAAGCACCTGATTTTAAGAAATAAAACATAAAATGATTTATATTGACATTTCAACGATACACAATTTTCTTTAAAATCTAAAGCAGAGTTATCTGTTAAATTAACTGAATGACTTTATTGCTTCTTGTAAACGTCTGTGTGTATATTATGCTTATTGTTCCAACATGTTTTAAAGAGTCATACTTCAGATAGTTTACTCATAGCATGTTAAAGATCCATTCTCAACGGTTTATATTTTCGTGGTACTAGCGAATGATATCTAAATTTTGCAATTAAAGACCAAAGCGTACGCGATAACATCATCATACATGATTTAGTAATGGCTTTATATATATTGTTAAACAAAGTGTTTAAATGCGCGTTTGTTATGTACATTTTAAAAAATTACATCCCCCTAGTTTTACTAAGGTTAAAATTTTGGCAAAATGACGCTACATGACATTGAAGATGAATTCACATCTAAGTCAAAATGACCCTACATGACATTGAAGATAAACGACATTCCATTCAATATGAAGTTACAATACCAAATTATAACCGCAATCTAATATCAGTTCAAAGTTAGCTTGAAATGTCGCCGTATTCAAAACACAGCTTTAATTAACATATAAATTTTCATACTAATTAGTGCATTTTTCGATATAAACCAAAATGTAAATGGATCTAGGAGAGTCATATGTTAGATAATATACTCTCAAGTTATTATTTATAGTTCTAGATGAGTCATATGTTAGATAATATACTCTCAAGTTATTGTTTATAGAGTCATATGTTAGATACTATACTCTCAAGTAATTGTTTATAGAGTTATATGTTAGATACTATACTCTCAGGTTATTGTTTATAGAGTCATATGTTAGATACTATACTCTCAAGTTATTGTTTATATATCTAGAAGAGTCATATGTTAGATACTATACTCTCAAGTTATTGTTTATATATCTAGAAGAGTCATATGTTAGATACTATACTCTCAAGTTATTGTTTATATATCTAGAAGAGTCATATGTTAGATACTATACTCTCAAGTTATTATTTATAGTTCTAGATGAGTCATATGTTAGATAATATACTCTCAAGTTATTGTTTATAGATCTAAAAGAGTCATATGTTAGATACTATACTCTGAAGTTATTGTTTATAGAGTCATATGTTAGATACTATACTCTCAAGTTATTGTTTATAGAGTCATATGTTAGATACTATACTCTCAAGTTATTGTTTATAGAG